CCCTTACAGGCTAAGTTGATCCTTCATCTTTTCTTTCTATTATCTATTAGTTATCCCCTATTTTACCTATTTTACCTATTTCACCTATTTCTCTTCTCCGCTATCCGCCATGCCTCTACGTATGTATGTACGCTCTGTTGTTAATTTGCGAGTTCGCAGCATGTCGCAACGACTGCAACAACCGCAACGGTCCTTATTCACTCAGTACATAGGTAGAAACAGGACGGTCATATCATATATAGTATTGTGCAATACTGCATACGTCGTGCATACATACGGAAGGGCTGCCATGCTGCTGCGGGGAAATTCTGTCGAATCAACATGGATGGGCCAACGGGATGCCAATGACTACGAACAAAGACACATGTGTTGTTATGTAGGATATGCCCAATGACATGGAGAAATAAGAAAGGAGAAGGCAGTTTGTTCCGTATTATCATGGGTATACAGTATGATCGGTTCCCATGTATTGTATTGTATTGTATTTATTGTACATACGCTACCGGCGATATCTTAACAATACCTAGGATAGCAGTAACAAACCAACTAGCATTAGATCTAACCAACTCCCTCTTTAGTTGAGTTTAGTTCGTTATGAAAGCGGCAAATTTCTGTAACTATTCTTTAAATTTTACTCTAATAAGTGAGCAAATATTTAAAAAGTCAAGGATGCGACCAGATTATATGTAGGTAATAAACTTCAATAAAGGAGATGCCTTGTTCTACCTAAGTCTTTTTTATTATTTTTATTTTTTATTATTGATAATACAATAGGTAATGTTACGATACGTTTGCGAGTCACGAGTAGCACGACTCGTACTCCCTCAATCCTCCTCATAGGGGCTGGGTTACCTATGTTATGATATGCCATGCCATGCTATGCCATGCTATGCTACTATGTCACCATAAGATGACAGCGTTACAGCTACCATCAACCTACTCGCCTGCATCAGATGGATTCTTTTCCTAGTTCAATACTTTCTTTCTTTCAAATCCTCAACACCAAAGAAGCAGGTGTATGTACAGAAACAGCCTGCTATTTACAAAGGTTACCTACCTACCTACCTAGGTACCCAAGGCATCCAGGTAATACATTACCCGACCTGAACAGCCTCGGCCTAAAAGATTCCGGCGTGAGACGTGAAAAGTACCTAACACACGCTCCCGTCTTTGCCTATTTAGCCAATCATCAATTTTCAGCTGCTCCTGTGTAGGTAAATGTAGATATTGCATGTCCTACCAAGTCAGAAAAGAAAAGAAGCGCGCTAGCTTTGCGACATTCACTGATTGAGGGGTCTATTATTGGCTTCGCAGTCGAATCAGAATATTTACGGGGTTAAGACCGACAATCTACTTACACGATAGACAAGTCTCGACAACATTTTGCCTCTCTCTGCTAGAGGGACCTTCTGGAATTCCAGCTGAAATCAAGCGTTCCGTCCCGTCCCGTCATATTTTGGGGACAAACAGAGCCGGTCCAGAAACACCAGCGGCTTGGGTCCAGGAACGTGGTCTTTAGAGCGTCCGGCCGGCATTACCGTAGCTGGGTGATGCTATGGCGTATTTTGCATAGTACGGGCTTGGTACTACCCACAATGCAAAAGATGACGGGCGCCATCCTAGATCGATATATCTGCTGAAAAATAGATGCGTAAATTTCTTATCAGGCATAGGTAGTTAAGCTGACAAGATAAACTGCCCGTATACTTGGATACATTGATTTTTAAAGATACGATGCTTTATCTTCGTCTTCATCGAAGGAACTAGTCGGGGATAACGCCGGTCATAGCATTAGGGGGGCCATATCTCAGTAAGGAAGGCTAGCAATGCCCGGGACTCGGCCGATACCCAATATCTCTTAAGAGTAGAGACATACCTAAACCACAGCGGAAAGAATATCTTGTATATATTTTCTGCTCGTCTTCATTCCAATAGGTTAGGTAGGTATCAGAGCATCCGGTCCTAGACATAGATAAGCCTAGATTTGCTTCTCCATGTTTTACTTCACATATGTAAGCTAGGGAAAGACGTGGCTTAACCTGCTAGTTCGTCCTGGCGAGAGGGAGAGGGAGAAGGAGAGTGAGAAAGAAAGAAAAAAAACGACGTCGATCATAGGAAAAAGCTACGCTTCCACCCCGGCTGCCCGCCAAGCTGGATCGCAACCCCGAAAACTGCAAGTGATCGACAGCTAATACCGCGATAAGCACGAAAATCGCAACACCAGTTTATCAGCACGTCACATAGACAGACATATTTACCGCAAACCAATCCCGAGCTATTGTAAGCGCTGTCTCGGGTTACCTATGCCTTGGTTCCAGGGAGGAACGGGGGGCGACTCGCGAGCGGAATTACCGCTACAATTGCTGCTAAGAAGATGAGAGGCGGCGAGCGGCTGAAGGCTTCCGGGAAAGGCTTATTTTAATTGATAGTCCGTCTCCTTGATCGTTTGTGGGATGGTCCTCTCCTGGTGGAATGATCCGTCCTTATGGGAGGCGATAGTGTAGAGTGGGAGAACTAAGAACTGGCCAGTCGGATTACTTTGCTCTTTCTAGGTACCCGCGTAATACATGGACCTAGGTATGTAGTAGTGTATATCCGCAGGTCGAGGCGAAGAAGCCAGGTATTTGACTCCGTCAGCAAGTCAGTCAGTCAGCAGCAGCAGCAGCAGCAGCTACTGCGGTAAGACCCAAAGACATGATTTCTCTCACCCGCGTTCCATTGCTTCGGCCAATAGTTGGTCCAATCGCTTTACCCCGATCTGATCCTGTGGTTGAGATCCAGAGATCTACTAATCCAGATCCGTCATCCGGGGGAATCTTCAATAATAAAATAACCCTGACTGACCGACTGACTGACTGACGACTGACTTACGCCATAATAAAAATCAAGGTATTCCTGTATTATGCGAGAAAGTAAAAAAGCAAAATACATACCGTATCTCGCGGTGAAGTTACTTATTCTTACGATAGATAGATAGATAGATGTTAAGCTCAATAACGCATTCCTCCGTATAGACAATTCTGTACTACATTAACTTGTTCACCTTTTAGGGGTTCGAAGACCCCTGTTGGCCGTTGCACAGCGGTTCTATAAAGTATTCAAAATAAACAACAAATCACTCTTATTCCACAACTGCACGTAACTGAATAACATCCCGGACAATAACTACATATACGCAGCCATTGATTTATCACCACCAATGCTTTAACCAGCATACATAGTAATAGCTCTACAGCTCTATGTGCTTTCGGGTTTCCCACTGACTTATACCGAATTTATAAATAACCCCCCCTTGTTTAAGCTTATGTCTTGCATTCGAAGCCGCATCGGCAATAGTCAAGTCCTCCCATCACGCTTTTTGAAGTGTTAGTAGTACGGACACCAAGCTCCGTTCTCGAGAAGCGGGCGACGGTGTTGTAAGGCAGGTAATCTCAGATACCCATTCACTTTTGTATAACCGACGCATCTCGCCACGCTATTCATAGAACAACCTCTGCAACCGCAATATATTTGCTTGCCGAGTAAGCGAGAAGACCCTAGGTTCACGCTTTAAATAGCGTCTCTCCCCTCCCGTCCCCTAGAATTCCTCACCGCGCCAACCTCTCTTTATCCCGGAAACATGGCTCCATCGCGAGGAAACGGGCCTGGGAGACGAGCGCCCGCTTACCCTCGTAGCTACCTAGGTAGGTAATTTTATATAGACTTTCATGCAGGGAAACGTGCTCTTCTCCGCCCTGGGGGAGCTATTGAATCAATCACAGGTGAGGGTGAGGTGGGAAATATAGACGGGAAGAGAGAGAGAGCAAGTATCCAAATTAGCCGGTGCGCCAAATCCTTGCCGCGACACGCCATATCCGCTACCCGCCATCCGCCGTCCCGCGGAGAGGAGAGAGAGAGGGAAAGAAAGAGCGAGCACGAGGCGATAGTTCGTCTGTATCTAAATACACAGGCGCATGCTTGCGCGAGCGAACGCTACCCTACCCTAGATAAAATATATTGCCCTCCTATGCTCACATACTACCGTGTCTGAAAATAGCTTGCAGCGAGCCAGCATGCATACATAGGTGCATAGTATACATACAACCATACTCGTCTGCATGGGCTCGAAAGCAACCGCAACCCACCGCCCACAACCGATGGGCTCGGGAGCAATAGCCTAGAAAGGGGATACCTTAAGGGTCCTTCCGAAGTGGGCTTCCCCTGTCTGTCTGTCTGCTCTCCGAACCGAACCGAACTTCACTAGACCCTCTTTCTCGTATTACGAAGCTCCGACTCGGAGCTTCGTACGCGCGAGGGATAGTACGGTGCTGGGCGTCCAGGAGGGAGGGAGAGAGAGATGTGGGTGATGATGGATGGTTCCTTGGCCCTGCTCTGCTTGCATCTGTGGGATGGGATGGGATGGAATGGGATGGGATGGAATGGGATGGGATGCGGCTCTACTGTCGTGCGGAGGTGTCTTATGTTTACTTACACGTCGCCTGTTTCTCCCGGCAAGCACATGTGTCCCCAGGTTCTCGTACGAGGAGCTCGTGTTACTTGGCGTGGGAGTCGCTCGAGGGTTTGAGATTAGTGCTTTGTTTGCAATGCATGTTAGGGTCTGGAACTCGCGTGGTAGTGAATGAGTGATTTGAATGGAATGTATTAGGCGTGCTTTGAAATGTATGGGGAAGTTTCATAAAAGGCACCTAGGTACCTAAGGTAATGACTTATTCTATACGGTAAGAGCATTAAATGATTTATGTGGATGGCATTGTCTTCACATATTTAACACAGTCACAAAGAATATAAAGGATTTATCATGTACAAAGGGTTATAATATATGATTTATTGCTAATTACATTCTCGGTAGAAAAGTGTATAATAATCTGCTGGCAGCGTGTATTTATAAGCTAACTCTCTCATCATGACTGTCTCGAAAACCGAGTAGAATCTCACACGCTACGAGGTTGAGATGCGTGTAGGAAAGACTCTACGTAGATGATTAGCACTGGCAAGAGAACCTAAGACGATGTCCTTCTCTCTTCCTTATCTTCTACTTCCATTACATCATCCTCGGTTTTAGATCCGCCATCTACTGGTTCGACGGCGCTACTTCTCGTTTTAGTTATACCTAGGGCATCAACTTTAGTAACTAAAGGTTTTACCAGCGATGATTTGAATTGTGATAGCGGGCCGAGAGTAGGTCCAGGATTCACCCTCTTGTGCTCCCAGGTCTCGCCCGGGAATGCCCCCCGTTTGTCGTCTAGAATAGGGTTTGCCCTCCGGACGGCGCAGTTCTCGGGAAGCACGATCCTGCGAGAGTCGGACCGCATGCTGTTAGCGAGTCCTTTACGCTCGAGGTTAGCCTGGTCGAAAAGCTGGTGCCAGTGCTGAATCTTGGTATTTTCGAGAGAAGATGGAACTCCGTCTTGCTCTTGAGTTGGGGTGTGCTGAGAGAGTAAAACGTCAAGGCTAGGCTTACACGGCAGTCCTACATACTTCCGCGCTACTTCCAAAGCATACTCGTGGAGCGGACTATTCAAGATATTAGATTCAACGAAGTCCTTCTTGCCTGCTCGTATAAGCGACTCGATTTCTTCGAAAACCATGTCCATAAGCCGCTCTTGAGTGAGTGGGATTTTACCCCTATTTTGGTGCTCCATGTCACTACCTAGTAGCTTCGTTTTGAGTAGTCGAATGTATAGTAGTCCCTTCTTAGTTTCTTCCCCCCTTATTATTCGAAGGAGGAATGAAATCAGCGTAGAACGTGTTGGTTGTAGATACTAATAGTTAGTCGGATTTGTCAAGTATGGTGATCAAGTATAAAACAATACCTAGTGCGGTCTGTTACGTTTAAGTAGCCCATGATAGTTATTCCACAATTTCATTCAAAGCTATAACAATAAATAAACTGCCGTCTCTCAAGCTATTCTTATTAACCCACAATAATACAAATACATTGTAGTGGTTTGTCTTCGTCGAAACGACGAGATACAAACTCGTTAGCCGTATCTATGTGTTGTTTCAGTTCTTTCAGTACATAATCGTTAAATGAATCGCGTTTCCCATGTGACAATCTTTCCTTATGTACTCAAATCGTCATTATCGATACTAGGGTAAAGGGACTAAAAATCTGCATCATAACGCACTTATCAGTCTTGACTCTAAGTATGGATAATCGTCGCACGGTAAACCAGTTGATATTCTCCTTGAAACCTCTCAATACTAGAGCCGAGAAAGTTGTATCACACAAGCATAATGAGGATTACACTTCGAGTAAGTGGCATGGGAAGCGCTGCTTCAATTTTGGAAGTACTCTTCCAACCAAGCACGATAATAAAACCCTGACTATCGCAACGATGGGTAGTAGCCGAAGCAAGGCTGATGCCTACATAAGCGGAGACGATATTGAAAGCGTACACTGTACCTTCTATATTCACTATGAGACGGGTATCGTAATACTTCAAGTAAGTCCCCCCTATCCAGAGTCGTGATACCCTATTCCCCAAGCCCTCTCCTTTGATAAGCCAATATTTTACAACTTACTAAAGTTTCAGTCGGTTGCTGCGTCGTTTTCAAGTATCAAAGCTAACTCTGGGTTAGGATGAATCTTCCGGAAAGACTCGCGTTTACCACGACAACAAATCGAAAACTAACACGTCTTCTAGTCAATACCATCGTGTCGTAGTTATGAAAGGAGTCAACAGCGTGATTTCTCTAGGACCCCAAGACAATCCGGTAAGGTTCGAGATTATCTGGAGCCTCGGACCCGACAAAATCTTGGACATTGTGAAAAGGCGAATTTCGGAAGCTTCCGAGGCCAGAAGAAGCAAGGATCTTTGGACTTTTAAAGATCAGACACTTTGGACAAACGTCCCAAATCCAATAAGACATCACCCGATAGTCGAACTTGGAAGGGGTGGGTTTGGAAGAGTTATGAAAACCGTTGACCTGTACTCCGGCGGCGTAATGGCCGTTAAGCTACTGCATCGGCCTGCTAACCGTAAAGATCGTCGTTGGTTAGACACCTTGATATCCGCCAGGGATCGAGAAGTCTGTAAGTATTATATCCCACTCTTTCTAGCATGCCTCTACATTTTCTATTTTTCCTTGTTAACGAAAGTTTTCACCTCTTAACAAAAGCTTACTCCTCTAATACTATAAAGAGAATGCTGACCCCGTATGTACTAGTTATACTTTCAAAACTCAAACACAACCATATCGTGAATTATCTTGGCTCGCAAGGCTGGGACACGGGGTTTGTCGAGATATTCATGCCCATGAAAAGGGGGACATTAGCCAGTCTAGTGCGCAAGTATCCATCATACGACGACCTGAAGAAAAATGGCAACACTGTGTTACTACAGATGCTATCCGCGCTCGATTATCTTGCTTTCCACAAGCTCATACATCGCGACATAAAGCCGGATAACATTCTTTACGATGTTAAAACCGTAAACGGAGAAGAGCGTATTGTCTTCCAACTAGCTGATTTTGGTCTGTCGGTTCTCCAGAACCTAGGAAGGAGCCAGGCCGGCACCATAGTCTTCATGGCACCTGAGGTGTACGATGGTGAGAAGCAACAGACGCCTAGGGCGGACATGTGGTCTTTGTACGTGACCATGTTGTGGGTTTACAACGAGCAACTGTTCCGCCACAGGGTTGAAACAGGGAGACTACGGGGCCAATCCGATGTCCGCAGAGCCGTTCTGAATATCGCCACGAGTAGCAAAGACTTGCAATTTATCCGGAGCATGGCGATTTACGACCCTTCCCTTCGCGCTTCGGCGGCCCAGATACTGACTGGTCTCCGTAGACAGGACTTGATGACCCATAAAGCCGCTACACCGATGAACTCGTATAGTGAATGGATGGAGGCTGTTAAGGCGGGTAAGAGCAAATTTACCCCCTATCTCTCGAAAATCCTGGAATTTTGAAACTGGTTTTCAAAAGTAAACACGAGACATTATTTCGGCGGATGCCTAACACGGCATCTATTCTGATCCTACAAGGCTGGTTCCGGGTAGACTGTCTTGCTTCATGCATCACGATAGTATCTATGACTTCTGGTAACCTTGGATGGTGAGTGATTTATAAGGGGATATATATATTAGGTATATATACCTACCTATATATAGACGAGAATGGCCTCGTTGTACCTGTATATTTTCTACTACCTCCCAGGTACCTTATGTAGGTAACCATTGGTGTCAGTGGGCCCCCTATTCTAAAGGCTTTGCGAACCCAAAATAAAACCGGGAACATACCTCTTACTAGAACTATAGCATCAGTATATACGACGATGATAATTTGTGATAATTTGTGCTTCTTTCTTCTATATACCTTGAAATAATTTGATGGCTGACATGTTACTCTATACAAATTCAGGGGTGCATAAGCAAGTAACATGGAATAGAGACGACGCTTAGATCGGATCTCTTGAACAGTACATGAGGGATGGGGTCAAAACTTAATATCAACATCATGGATTGTCATTGTCTAGGCCGGTCAAATCTATTCGGTATACGTATACTTCGAAATAGATATAGAAGTACAATTAAAGGATCGACGCGCTGCTGGCCGTTATTCCGTGACTCGGAAAAATAGACACTGAGATATCTTGAAGACTACGAAATAGTAACGCACTAGTTCGGCCTTTGCATATATCTTGGCTTTCTAGAATTCTATTCAGAAACTTGCACATGTAAGAGCAGGGAGATCTGGACTTGGAGTCTTGGGTATACCTTGAGGATGATAGCCCTTGGTACCCCTGGAGCTATTGGAGGCGACACGCCCACCCAATGGCACTAGAAGCGTGCATGAATGTAGCGTTATAAGGGGGTAATTGTGCTGTTTGTTAATGGGTAGATTGATCTGCCAGACGTAGTAGTTAGTGAAGTAGGTTATTTCAGTCAGCTAAGAGTGTTGCCGACGGGTGCTTCTGCTTCTGCTTCTTGTTCGATCGGTGGCGCTGACCATCGTTGTTGACTCAATGAATTCTTTTCAAGGCCATCTTCGGCGTTGTCTCCTTCTACTTGGACGGGATCCTGGGGATCCTGGCCATCCTCCTGCGCAGTTTCCGGCTCTTCAAGGCCTGCATCGGAGGTATTTTCGTCTTCCTTCAGCTTTCCCCCTTTTCGCATAGGAATGACGTTTATGAAGGCAGTGCCCCAGTCTCCCGTCTCTAACCACTGGAGTATTATCTCCATGACGTGGTTTGTAGCGAGGATATGGCGACTTTGCATGACCATGTATTGGCCAATAGGTAGCTTTGCTGTACGGACGTTTTTGCTTCGCGCGATCTTGTAGCATAGCCCCTTTTCGCGATTCTTGTCGATTATGCCACCAATGACGTAGCAGGTATTAGGCTCTAGACGATCGAGCGTATAGGGTGAATCGGCAGTCAGATAGACAATGGACTTGTCTACATCATCGGCCTCGGGTTCCGCAACCGGGGCAGTTTTCTGCTTCTTTTTGGAGTCTTGACTGACCTCAGAAAATGAAACCGAATCGCGGTCATTGCCTTGCGCAAGGAGGTCGATTACGGTGCCACCAGATGGTCCTGCCATTATCTCCTTGGCTTTAGCAGCAGCCTCGATAAAGTCACCTTCTATGAATTGGACGTTCTTCCAACCCTTGAACTGATTCTGAAGGATGGTCTCATGTCTTTCCTTCATCTGGCCACCATATGAACTAATAAACATGTGGACGGGGAACTGGGCATTCCTGTTATCAGAATAGCATCTAGTGATCTGATTTGACAACGATGGTAATTCCTTTCCCATCATATACTTCTCAAATTGGCAGTCGAATATAACTGTGATAGGTACTTTGGTAGCGGACTTGGGCTGTCTCCTGGATGGTTCTTGGAATACAGGTTCTCTTCCCTCAGCGGCAGCGGCAGCAATCTCAGCCTCTCTTTCTAACCTCTTTTTCTCCTGCTTTTCGTGTCGCTTTTCTTTACGCAGAACCTTCTTTTCTTGCTTCTTTTCTTCCCACATTTTCCGACGTTTTAATTTTCGTTGTTGGTTCTTGGATAACTTCGGAGCATCGGTTCCGTTGGCAGCCTCTTTAGATCCTCCATCGTTATGGTCGCCTTCTTCCTCACTGACATCGTCATGTGAAGGTCGTTTCACTCCGCGCTTTTCAGGACTATTTGTGATAATAGCTGCAGACGGTTGAACATCCGTTGTCGCATCCGGATTTCCTTGGGATTGGACTTCGGGGTTGGCACTGGTAACAATTTCTAATGTACCGCCGTTTTCCGCGACGGTTTCTGTGGTGTCTGCCATGGTTCCTGGGGTCTTAAAAAAAAGTTGGAAGTTTTTGTAGTGGGGTGTTAAAAGTTGAAAACAGGTATGGAGCTGAAATAAAACGCGACAACCCCGCGGGCCGCGGCACAAAAAGCTTAGGGAAGGTCTGGGGCTTTTAGGTCATGCAGTAGCGTAGCTGTAACAGGCTTACAGGCTTATCGGGGTAAGAGCTTGTTAAATTTTAGCGCGTCCCGTCGCGTCTCGCAGCGCAGCTTTAATTGATTTTTTGGACGCGACTTGGGACTCGGACCCCTAAGACTTAACTTAGACCCTGTGTCTTTCTCCTTACGTCAATTGAAACATTTGCACTTCAAAGAATGTAATGAGAATCCCCTTTTTGTTTCTACTACATTAAAGTGAAGTACTTAGGTTACTAGACTAAGAATTTAGTACTTCAGAACAAGAACAAGACAAGATGTCTTCCCGACCCGAGTTAAAGGTATAATTCTATGGAGTTTGAATTCATTTATAATGTAAAGTTAACCAAGCTGGTGACAGGTCGACGATGAACACGGATTCATACGTTTCTTTAAATCACTGCCGTCCGTAGGCGAAGAAACTGTCCGTATATTCGACCGAGGCGACTGGTACACCGCCCACGGCCAAGATGCGAACTTCATTGCGAGAACCGTTTACAAAACCACCTCCGTTGTGCGGCAGCTAGGACGAAACGATGCCAGCGGCCTACCGTCTGTAACTATGACAGTTACTGTATTCAGGCAATTCCTTCGAGAAGCTCTGTTTAAGCTTGGAAAACGTGTCGAGATATATGCTAGCAGCGGTGGCCGAATGAATTGGAAGATTGTCAAGCAAGCCTCCCCCGGGAACCTACAAGATGTAGAAGAGGAGCTCGGCGGACAATTCGAGTCTGCGCCCATGATACTAGCTGTCAAGATTTCGGCGAAGGCCTCTGAGGCGAGGAGCGTAGGCGTCTGCTTTGCTGATGCCAGTGTTCGAGAGCTTGGAGTTAGCGAGTTTCTTGACAATGACCAATACTCAAACTTCGAGGCCCTCCTTATCCAACTTGGTGTCAAGGAGTGTCTCGTCCAAATAGACAAGGCCGAAAAGGATAAAGACCCTGAATTAGCCAAGCTTAAGCAGATTATAGACAACTGTGGAGTTGCTATGGCTGAGAGACCAGCTGGTGATTTTGGAACAAAAGACATCGAGCAGGACCTTGCTCGATTGCTGAAGGATGAGAGATCCGCAACTCTGCTTCCACAGACTGATCTCAAGTTGGCCATGGGGTCTGCGGCAGCATTAGTCAAATATCTAGCTGTTCTCCAAGACCCATCCAACTTTGGCCAGTACCAGCTTTACCAACACGACCTATCCCAATTTATGAAGCTCGATGCTGCTGCCCTTAAAGCTCTTAATCTAATGCCTGGTGCAAGGGACGGCTCTAAGACGATGAGCTTGTACGGATTGCTTAATCACTGCAAAACACCGGTCGGTAGCCGGTTACTGTCGCAATGGTTGAAGCAGCCCCTAATGAACAAAGATGAGATCGAAAAGCGCCAACAATTAGTTGAAGCTTTTGTTAATGATACGGAGCTGCGCCAGACCATGCAAGAGGAGCACCTCAAGTCTGTACCGGACCTCTACCGGTTAGCAAAACGATTCCAACGAAACAAGGCAAACTTAGAAGACGTCGTCCGAGCATACCAGGTTGTTATTCGCTTACCCGGGTTTCTAGGAACACTGGAGGGCGTGATGGATGAGAAGTACAAAGATCCACTAGACGAGGCGTATACCAACAAATTAAGAGGGTTTTCTGATAGTCTTGGAAAGCTCGCTGATATGGTGGAAACTACTGTTGACCTTGATGCCCTTGATAACCACGAGTTCATCATCAAGCCCGAGTTCGATGATAACTTGCGCATTGTGCGGAGGAAACTCGACAAGCTCAGGTCGAATATGGATAACGAATTCCGAAAGGCGGCAGACGACCTGAACCAAGAAGAAAACAAGAAGATATTCCTTGAAAACCACAAGGTTCATGGTTGGTGCATGCGGCTAACGAGAACCGAAGCTGGCTGTATTCGCAACAATTCCCATTACCAGGAGTGCTCGACACAGAAGAACGGCGTGTACTTCTCTACGAAGTCGCTACAATCATATCGCCGGGAGTTCGATCAGCTATCTCAGACCTACAACAGGACACAAAAAGGCCTAGTCAACGAGGTTGTAAGTGTTGCCGCGTCTTACAGTCCCGTGCTCGAACAGCTTGCTGGCGTCCTAGCACATCTAGACGTCATCGTATCATTCGCGCATTGCTCAATCCACGCGCCCACATCCTACGTTCGTCCTACCATCCACCCTCGAGGGGAGGGATCTACCATTCTAAAGGAGGCCCGCCATCCGTGTATGGAGATGCAAGATGACATCCAATTCATCACAAACGATGTCGAACTCCGTCGTGACGAATCCTCTTTCTTGATCATCACAGGACCTAACATGGGCGGTAAATCAACGTACATCAGACAGATTGGTGTCATCGCGCTCATGGCGCAGATTGGGTGCTTTGTTCCGTGCACTGAGGCAGAGCTCACTATCTTTGACTCCATACTCGCGCGTGTTGGCGCTAGCGACTCGCAGCTCAAGGGCGTCTCGACGTTCATGGCGGAGATGCTGGAGACAGCGAACATTCTCAAGTCGGCAACAGCCGAGTCGCTAATCATCATCGACGAGCTGGGCCGTGGTACGTCGACCTACGACGGTTTCGGGCTAGCTTGGGCTATTAGCGAGCACATCGTCAAGGAGATCGGCTGCTCCGCCATGTTCGCGACGCACTTCCACGAGTTGACGGCGCTCGCGGACCAGCACCCGCAGGTGCGCAACCTGCACGTGACGGCGCATATATCGTCGACCGGCGGCTCAGGCGTCGACAAGCGCGAGGTCACGCTGCTGTACAAAGTCGAGCCCGGCATCTGCGACCAGTCGTTCGGTATCCATGTTGCGGAGCTAGTGCGATTCCCAGATAAGGTGGTGCGCATGGCGAAGCGCAAGGCGGATGAGCTGGAAGATTTCACGGCCAAGCACGAGGCCACGCAGCAGAGCTATGGAAAAGAAGACGTGGAAGAAGGTAGCGCTAGGCTGAAGGACGTTCTGGTCCGCTGGAAGGACGAGGTCAAGGGCGGAAGCATGAGTAAGGAGGAGATGGTAAGCCGTCTAAGGGAGCTCGTTAAGAAGGACGAGAAGCTCCTGGCGAATCCGTTCTTCACCGCTGTCAGGGCTTTGTGATGTTTCGATAGGAGGAATATAATGGCTTGTACTTGTTATAAAATCATGACGGGTTGGTTCGGATCGGCGTCCGGAATCAGATGAGGATTATTAGGAGGTACCTATAGATTGGCTTGTTAGGTAGGCTTTATTTGCTGGCATCATGTTGTCGGTTTATTGTAGGACGTTGTTAGATAAATACTAAATAATCAACTGATAGTTGTTCGTTCACTTGTAGTTTCATATGGTATGTGAATGGGAAGTCATATTTTTAAGGTAGGGTGGTCTGTCGACGCAGTATTGTCAAAACTAATAATCGAATCGATGGGCCCCTTAGACTGGTATCAAGCCTTCGAATTATAATATTTTACGCATTTACCTTAGACTAATTAGCGAGCGCATACCACAGCAGCCAGGTAACAAGGTCGAGAGCAAAACCCAAGTGCCATCAATTCTTTGTATTCATTATATACAAACGGCCGCAGTCTTCTACGCGCCTCGGAACGAGATCCTTTTAATGCATAGCCCATCCGCATCACCTAACCCACAGAACCACATCTAACCCAGAACCTTGTCGGCCATGGAAACTAAGCCAGAGTCAGCATTCCCTACACAAACGGAATTACAAAGAGTTAAATACTCACCGTCTGTTCCGGTGTTATCCGGCTCGACGTGCACTGACTTGACCTTGCCGTCCTCGACGACCAAGGCATAGCGCTTGGCCCGCATGCCGCCGAAGATGGCCGGGGCGTCAAAGCCCAGGTCTAGGGCCTTGGTGAATTCACCGGCGGGGTCAGCTAGGAATCGGATCTATATAGGAGTTTTAGCGATTCGATAGGTACACTTATATCATACATTAGGTAGGTAGCTTTGGCTGGACTTACACCGGACTCGTGCGTGGGATCAAGCTGGTCGCCCCATGCCTTCATGCTGCTGAATGTTAGCCAACCGGTTTCTGGACTATTTTCTCCCGTGCCGTCCCGGTTAAATTAGGCGTATAGGTGTGTAGGTAACTAGATCGATCGCCCTCGTTACCCGCACCCAAGCCATTCCATCCTCGAGAACCCCACCAAGACAGCGCATTCTCTCACAATACCTCTTCTCTTCCCCCTCCCTCCGTGCCACCACACATCTCCCAACATCACCACCACCACCACCACCACCACCACCACCACCACCACCGCCCAACCCCCAAATATCCCCTAAAGCCCAAAAGAAGAGAAACAGCACTCACACAAAAGCATCATTAACACTAACGACAAACACCCTCCCCGCATCCCTCAGCTTCGGGCTCTGGATATAGCTCGGGATATGTTTCTCCGAGCACGCGCCCGAGAACGCCGCGGGCACACCAACAATCACCCCGTTCGCCGCCTCGAACTCCCGCGCCAGGTTGACCTTGTTGCCCGGGGACCCCTCCTGCAGCACCTCCACGTCGGGGATCGACTCGCCGACCTTAACAAAGGCGCGCGGCGTGGCGTGGAAGCGGCGTGCTGCGAACGAGGCAGAGGCGGGGGAGAAGGCGCTGGGGCCGCGGCGCAGGGCGAGGCGGAATGCCATTGCGGCGGATATGTAGGAGGTAAGTATATAACTTAGCTAGGAGGTATGATATGATATAGAATATATAGATAGATAGGTATGCAGATATAGGATATCCAATTCAAAAGTGCGAGGAAGAGAAAAAAAAAAAGAAAAGAGGAAATCGGAGTCGAGGTAAAAAGATCAATAAGCCACAAAATTGTTGGCGTCTGGGGGCTAAATGCGAAGAAGTCGCTCTCCGCGATATGATATGGGGAATACCTAATAGATGGAAGTCGAGATGCCGGCTAGGTAGGTATGTACGAAATACACTACCTAGGTACGTATGCGAACTTACATGGTACATACACTAAACCTAGTAGATGCGGGAACGGGAACTATGACGTGAACCTACGTACGTACCTAGTACCTATGTACCTAATGACCATACACCTACACAGTTTTCTCCGAAGACATCCCGCACGGTAAGGCGCATTCATTCTGCCTGAAGGTATGAATTCCTACAGCCATGGTTCGCACTGTATGTCATAACCATTTCATAGTATATACATAGGTACCTATACCTATGCCCAGGTGAATGTCTATAGCAACTCCAAAGATATTATTCATAAGCTCATCAAATGTTCTATTGTTCCCAAGACTCCCGCTGAAAGCAGATAGAGAATCTCGTGGAAATATGTATCTAATAGCTATGTATCCGTACCTGGGTACTAATAGTCCATACTGACATTCTTGTCAATCAGAGCGAGAGCCACAAATTGACTATATTCGAAATGCGATTCATCATGAATTGGAAGTAAACTGGCAATAAAATAATGATACCGCGTCCCAAACTCCGGCCATGGTCACCTTCTATCTATCGATGCCGTTACACACAATACAATTTATCCGCGAGAGCTGGTCCCGCTCGCTCCTGGAGCATTGCTCTTTAGGTCTACGTTAAAAGTCCATCGTCCTGCGACGAGAGAACAACGCATGGTTAGCTAATTACTATCAAGTTGGAACCGTTTAAAGCTTACCATTAGCTAAGTTGTCCGCTGTGTCCTCTAACAGAATAACCCGTCGACGGTTGCAGTAAGCCGTCTTATCCATAATATCAACCTTGAGCTTGGGCGCCGACAAGTCAGAGATGGGCTTCTCGAACATCTCTGATAACGCCTCAACCGCAAGCTCAAGGTCTTTCTGGTTGTCCTCGAAAATCTCCGTGAGGTTATTCCGGGCTAGGTAGAAAGCGAACGCGTAAGTCCACTTTAGAGTCTGCCGACACGTCTGCAACGCCTGCGACGCCGAGTTTAGGTATTGTACTTCGATCCACGACATGCCCGATGCCGTCTGTAATTGCACCATCTTCTTCTCCGTTTTCTGATAGATGTCTTTGTCTAGACGCGCCGACTGCTCGTGGTTCGCGTACCGATTATAGTAGTGTAGGTATCGCTCCAGAGATACCCGTGATTTTGCCTGAGCATCGCGCGCTTCCGTCCCGCTCTTCTCCTCAAATCGGTTACAATTGTACCAGCTCGTGCCATGCTCCGACCACAAGCCCATGCACATCCAGCAAAACTCATGCTTGCATTTTCGACATGTCATGTGGTTGCAACCCCCATTCTTTTCGATTGTGGAGTTACATTTGGGGCATTCTTTGGTGTTAGCAGAGATCCAGTTTGCAGTTTCGCTATCATCTGCACACTTCTTTAGCCACCTTTTAACAAGCTCGCAAGGCGCTGGCTGATGATCACTGAGTATGCAGCCAAAACAGAATCTGTTGCCACAGGCACAGGCAACCGTCGGTACTACCTTGTCTAGGTCCTTTTTCTTGATAGCACATTCAACCGCGTTCTCGCAGTCGGGAGCGGGACACCATTTGAGGGCATCTCTATCCTCAACATACGTGCGGTTGAGTAACTCTTGGTATCGATCGGCAAGTTCGGTTGTCACTAGCATATCTAAGGACCGCGCATCGATAATACGGTGACAACCTTCGGCGGGACATTGAATACGGGCTGCCTCGCCCTCCTCGCGGATCTTCTGCGTAAGGTATTGTCGGTAGCAATCGACGCAGTAGCGATGGCCGCATTTCATAGCGAAACTGAGAAGACCTTCCTCATCCTCGCAACATATATCACAAGCAAAACCTGGTATGACCTCTAATTTTGGCGGAGCGGAGGAGCTGGGGCCTAGACCAGCTGCCTCCAGGACCTTGGTTGGGTTATCCATATAGTCTTCGATTAAGCGCTCCTTATTCCATCTGAAGTGACGCAATAGAATAGCAGCATCCTCTTTACTCATTTCCAAGATCATGTTAACCTCGTCGATCATTTCTTCTTGTTGATGCTCTATGTCGTGCGGTGTGTATACTTTGTAGCTGATGTCAAATGACACGCCCTTCTTCTTATCGGACTTTTGCGAAGGAATACCGGGCACGTCATCGGGTTCGTCGTCGAATACATCGAAGTCTAATACATCGAATATCAGTAGTTAGCTAGTGTGCATGAGTCATGTGTGGGAAACGGACAACGGCAGAGGAAAGGAATGAGACATACCCTCGGCACCCGACAGGTCATCATTGTCGGTGTCATCTTGCATAATATCATCCCCGCTCGAAATAGTCGAGACGAAGTCCTCGTCCGAATCCATGCCGGTGATCGGAGTGGGGGGCGCTGCGTCTGTAGCAGCTGCTGAGGCGAGGACTCGTTTTATGGGAAGGGCCTCGGGGGTGTCTGCGGAAATCTTCGCCTCAGCGGCTTTCCGCTTCCTCGTTGTGGGAGGAATCTTGTCGGTTGGTAATGTTGGCTTGGGGATGCTCGCCGCCGACGAGCCTCGGAGGATGGATATCGGAGGTTGCTCAAAGGCACGACGTGCAACAGTAAACAGATGCTGCTGGTATAACCGTTTGTTCTCGATAATTTGGTAATTTGGTAATTAGGGACCGCCCGTATGTGTTGGTTTGCTTATTCGGGTACCATCTACCGTCGTCCGTTTACGAGTGCGCAGGTTAGACAAGCAGACACCGTTGGGGAATAACAACTCGGCCTAAATAGGTAATGTAAGCATGTGGTACAATACAAATACAAAATGGATAAATAAAATAAAAAGACTTGAAAGCGATTAAAAGAAAGGCAAGGCGGCGGACATGTAATATTGAGAAGGGAGGAGGTGACCTCGTCAGCTGGATAGGAGGGGTTCGAATGGAAGGGCAATGGCTGGAATGGAGAAGAGAGCGTATTAGACCCGGCTTGAGAATATGTACAGATGCCTCAGTCGTAAAATAGCAACCGGAATCTCTTAGACGTACTTCGTAAAGTGACAAAACAAACAAAAGACCAGAATGCTGGGTAGAAGTTTAGAAGTTTGAAAGTGTCATAAAATCAGAATATGGAATAAGATGTGATAAGCGTTGGCAGTAAAGTGGTTGTACTTGGTACGTTGGATGGTTGTTGGTGGGTTGGGCCTGGTTGGCAGCTGCTGCTGGCCGATGGTGGCCATCAGTGGGCCAAGGTCACACTACCTTTGCGCTGCTTGGGTAAGAGGTACCTAGATCCGACTGCCTTGCCATTGCCTGCCTGCCAGCCTGCTTAGGCTTTGCTTAAGTAACAAGTAACATCGGCAGTCGCGGGTTTCTGACGCAACTTACTACCACGACTCGCGCCATGTACCTGCGCTTATTCCACTCTCATCCTGCCAGCTGGTCCGTCCTTCCGCCCTTCCGCCCTTCGTGTCAGAGGTGGAGCACCGGTAATATTTCGGTACCTTAACTTACCTATTAAAAAGCCTATTAACTAGTTAAAATTGAACTTACAACTTATGCCTGTCAGTAGCACCGTTAGGTGATCAAATTGACTTCGAAAAAAAAAAACCAGGTAGGAAGCAGCGCTAGGCAGCCGTCTAGTTAGGTTCAAATGTTGTTGTTTGTACGGGCACTTCAAGGATGCGCTAACTTGATATTGGATGTGAGAGCCAACGCTAATATACCTAGGTACGTACAACAACATTTACACGATCAATTGTTACAAACTACTTCCTACAGTAGATGACTAACTCAATCAATTCTATTGAATCAGTAGTATAACAGGTAGACAAAGAATCTTTACTTACTAACTCTTTTATATACTCTTGTACGCCCGAACAAAGGATAGTTACTGTAATGTTCTATCCTAACAACTACCTAACATACAGCATATCATTTGCGAGCACGATTTTAATACCCATACACCGTTTCACGGATCATGATTTACCAGTTATACAATTATAGCTAGTTGATTTTCTTATTCTCCTGGCCATCCCTCAAAAGAGAAACTGCACTTGTGGCCCTTTTGTGCCTATAAAATAGTTTATACCGGGACGCCTTTGCTTAACCGTTGTAACCCCAAAACTCCGCCGCTATGCTGATATGACCGTCCTACGCCATTACGTTCCTTAGGGACCGGTAAAAACATATGTGCCGTGTACCGAAGACTTCAACATTTAAGCAAAGAGAAACCTTGACAAGTCCATCCGCCTACGTCCGGCCTTGCCCTTGTCCGAGCCCAAGTTCTCCTGTTCATCCAAAACCTCGTCATTCTCGCTCTCCGGTATTATCAGGTCTTCGCTGCCCATAGGCCTGTGTAAAGCTTCCACCTCTTCCAAGTCGACGGGAGGCAAGGGAACGAAAGCTGGGTTAATAGGCATAGAGTCTATACTCCGCCTACCTAAACTAGATCGCTTTATAGGCCGTGGGACTGCGAACGAAGGCGTAGGCGGCTGGCTACCGCGCCCCAAGGCCTTGATGCCGAGTCGCTGAAGCGGTGTTGCCGGCGTCGTCTTGCCAGTCGATAGTTGTATGGAAGACGGCGTAGACGACATAACAGAAGTGGCAGGAGTAATTCCGACGAGCGAAGATCGACTCGAGGAAGACGTAGAGGAGCTCTGGCTACGTGTTTGGCCTTGTCCGTAGCTAAAGCGCTTGGCGATGTTGGGGGTGTTTGGAAGCTGTATCAAGGTAGTGGGTTCGCTGGTGTCATTTTCGATATATGACTCGTCATCCTTAGATATTTCGGTATCGGCCGAAACTGATTGCGACTCCTGATAAACCATAACTTCCTTCTGGCCCTTTAGCGAGGGACTCCATCCACCAAAGTCCGGGAGATCTTGTAGAGCTTCCTCGATAGAATCATCCGACATTAAATAGCCTTCTGTTTTCTTAGAGGTGGCGCCCTTCACATTACCGCGTGGGAAAAATTTGCTTCTCTGCTTTCCGGGACTTCGCCCCGAACTAGCATCGTCACACAGACGTGCCTTCTTAGATGGTCGAACGGGATGGGCGGCTCCTGTGCTCTCGGACTTGCTTAGAGCGTTGATTCCTGGGCCAGTAGTCTGGCGTCGAGACCCAGAAGCCAAAGTGCGACCACCATTGCCGAGTAGATTGGCCACTGGTTCAGTTCGACGTCGAAGAGTACGGGCGGAGCTTTCAGGCCGCGTGATATACGCGCGCGGGCCAGCGGATGTGGTAGGGGCAGTTTCGTCTAGATATGGTCTCGGAAGCGGGTATACGATCGGTCGGTTGCCGTTTTCAGTCATGCTAGCGAGGCGTGTAGGGTCAACAGAGAAGCAATTCGGCTCCATTTCACCTAGAGGAATTCGGCGATGACCCTTGAAGTAAGAGTCGATCGGCTTCTCAGGAGGCTCTCGTGCTGTGCGGGTTTGAGGCATGTTGCGAGCAGTGCCTGATGCAGTACGTTTCCTCGGCGAGGGTAGAGTTTGGAGCACAATGGCTTGTTTAGTGATTGGATTTATATCTCCAGCAGCAATCCCCCTGGCAGTTTCTGGCTCGATGGGGGGTCCAATGAATGTGAGTTCGTCGATCTTGACCTCGGGGCTAAGTTGCGTAAAGTTGACAAGCTTATCTGCCTTAGGACAGAAGACCCATTGATGAAGAAAAGTCTGCTCAGCTTGGTGAAACAATTTTAAATAATCAGGAGGGACTCGATGTTTGCCGTCAAACTGCAGCATGCGGACCACCTTTTCAGGTGTCTTGTGCTTTCGTATCATCCTATGCGCGGTCTTCAGTCCTAAGTTGTTGATACTATCCAGATAGTCGCAACCACTAAGAATGGCCATATGTCGAAATTGGGCGTCCGTCCAACCTGTCAGAGAGACTTCACGACAAGCACAGAAGTCTCTGCGGTTTATCTCAATACATTGACCGTGCTGATCCAGTTTAGTTAATAATCGTTTGGCTCCAAAAACCAGCAAATCTGAATCTTCGGAGAGAATGCCACTGATGTGACCCTCACGTTCCAGATACACCAGTTGCGGATCAGCTTCGTAAGGTGCAACTACATAAGGCACGCCGGCTTTCTTTAGCTCTTCAATTAAATGACGAGCCATCTCGGGGGTAATGTCGACGGCCTTCTGGAGCTCGGCGTGTGCCTGAGAAGGTTTGCCAGCTTTTAGAAGTTCGAGGCCTGCCTTCTTACATTCTTCCCGGCGCTTCTCACGAGACGCCTCAGTTGTGGCCTTGCTAGGCAAAAAACCGCCGTCAAAAACCAAGTAAGGTGTGATGCCAAAATGTTTGAGCATCCTAACCCGGTTCATAGCAAAGTCTACATATCTAATAGGTTTGTGAGAAGGATATTCTGACGGGGTATGGTTGTTGACACTTACTTTCGTGTAGGCTTGCCTTGAGCAAGTTCAATTGCACACGGCACGGCACCTCGATGCAGCCAACCATAGGCGTCGACGCCAATTGTCTCGCCATCATACTTTCTCAACTCTGTTGGTCGTTGTATTGATTTGAGTAATGGAAGCAGACCTATTAAAGTCAGCTCCACACCCCTCAATGCTCCTTAGACTTAGCTAAGACCATTATACAATACAATACATACCTTGAATACCCATCTCGAAGAGCAATATAGAGGGCTCTCCTCCCGCGCCCGGATTGTAAGATCTATAGCGTCTTCGTGGCCATCCAGAGAAATTGAAGGTTGAAATGCCCGTGCAGTAATAAATCCAATCCTTTATGTAGCAAAGGGGTAATGAGCTAATATGACGGGATTATAATTTTGGGCGCAGTCAATTAGATGATTCGGGTCCTAGACAATGATTGACTGACAACAGGTGTAAACACGCCTAGAATAGCATTCAATTAGATTAGAATAGGTCAAAGCTTCAAGAGCAAAGGTGACCAAATGCTGAGGCTAGAATAGAGAAGGGTGGGAATATGACAGGAGTAGAGTACGTCGAATTGATGTTAAGGGAAGTCTGGTAGATTGATAAAGGAAGACTGGACGCGTGAAATAGTAAAAATGGATCCTTGACTAGAAGGTAATTCCAGCCTCTGCGGCTCAAGGAATTATTCGATAAAAGAGTAAACCGCGTCGTGGAGTGCTACACCGCGATTTCCTAAGTTCACCTAGCGCACCGTGCGGGTCGGGAGAGCAACGTGGGTCCAACCAATAGTCTGTACTCGCGACATGCGCTAAACTACAAATATCTTAGCTCAGTAGCAAACGAAGTAAGATTTACTTGGGAAAAGTTAGCACGGCGCCCTGAGTCACACAGTGGATATAACATAAGTCACGTATCTACTACAAGAGGCTGACCTTGCATTAACCTTAATTAAGAGACCCCTGATATTCCATCACTTTATCCATTTCTGGAAGTCTGGAAGTCATTTTTAGCCCCACCAAATCTTTTGACGAACAAAAATCTCGAAAATACTCATCTTATTTATCTAACATCGAATATCTAGCACGGGCTACTTTGCAGCCCTTGTCACTTACAACTTCACTTTCACCACTCATTAGTCACATATACCGTCTCCACAATGCCGAAGACTTTTGAGAGAACTCGCAAGGCCATTGCCAAAAAGAAGGGGGCTGTCGATTCTCTTCATCAATACTCACGCGATTCTAAGAGGCTGCATAGGGCCCAGGTTCGTGATGGAAAGCTGGAGAAGATTGCGGCCTCGAGGAAGAAAAGTGACAAGCCTTATCGTATGTCAATTGAGCACCTTGAATTCTAGAGCTAGACAACTAATGCAGTTATGTGATCCAGTTGAACGAGCTACCTTTTTCCAAGAGGCCGTGAGACAAAATGGGAGCCAACCTGTACAAATGGATGTTATCCATGAACTAATCAAGACGTCAGTTTCATTAAAGGAGCCACGCTTGACACTATCTCTTTCAAGCTAACTGTAGTTGCAGGTTTGTACACCAACACGATGAAGAACTGAGCGAAGTAAAGAAGACTCGGCGGCCCGGACGTCCTGCCAGTGCCAAGGAAGATTTACTGAAAGTGAAAATCGATAAGCTTCAGAAGGAGTACCAGAACGGCTTTTGTCAGTATACCATTCCACCAGTTTTATTGCAAATATTTGTCTGACATTACCTGGGCTATAGTAATTCCGGAGCTCGACACGGAAGAAAATGCTACGGTACTAAGCCGGTGGGAAGGCTCTTGGTCCTACCTAACCACCCTCAAGTGGGTGAGAATATCTTCCGCTGGGAGCGTTCAACCTTCTAGCTTTCCTCCGAGAGGAGAGCATTGAGAAAACACCCCCACTTCCCACGTGCTTGATATCCTCAGCCCGAGGACGCGTGTGTAACAAGTCCCTGTACCCTCGGTTGATGTTTCTATGTTCATCGTAGATCAGACGGGGCCTTACTTACGGACGTAGGAAGTTTCCGAGACCAGGCAGGGGAGTTGGCCTGGTTTTGCCGCTGATTTACAAACACACGGTTACCTACAGCCCTGACACGCACCAACCTGCAAACTCCGCAGCCAGCCACACATGCCGGCAGTAATCCGGGATTTTTTTTACGGAAAATAATGCAGTCAGGCTAGATGACACCGGCTAGTTTCAAACCCGGTGCGCTTATGTCAGGTTGGCAATAACAATGCAGCATTGGTATCATCGGAAAGCCCCTTTACGCCTCTAGACCAAGCGGGTCATCCGCTCTCTCAGTCAAAGTTAGTACGCCTAACCTAGCTGAGCATGAGTGTCACTACAGGCGTGGGATCACGATCGTTTGCAACGGAGATATGCGTTTGCAGCACCTGTTTTTAGACTATTTTGTTGCACGTGTGAAGGAAGCGGGTAGCCGAACGGCCGTGGGATGCTGGTGGTTACTGTCAACTGCACCCCGGATCCGAGAGTTTCGAAGCCGCAAGCCTTTGGCTTCTCCCAACCTACCGACCTCTTCGGCTATCTTCATGATAAATTAGATCGTCCTGCCCACAACTAATAAATGTGTGACATCTCACAACCTTCCTGCTTTCTATACGTTCGTCCCGATACGGCTACTTACTCAATGCATTGTCCTCTCTAAATTCATGCTATTTAAGACGAGTTCCATGACTTGTAATACGCCCTTTAAGCTAAACGCTTATCTATCCCAGACCGAAACCCTCGAGACGATTGGCTCAGCTGGCTTCTCTAGTAATGGGTGTAGATGAGTAGGATCTGTTTTCCTCGCTCCTCTAGTTACCCGATTGGCCCGCCCAAAAAGGCAGTAGTTATAACTTCGAGGTGGGTCATACGTTGCAAAAACCACAGCAGAGGAGAGTATCGAGCCTTGTTGGAAGTGTAAAGTACGAGCTATTACTGGTAATATAAGTTGAAGGGGCCGCGTACTTCAGTATGAAAGGAAAATGGCGTCGATCTCTGCCTCATACGATAGCTCACTACAGAACCGAATCTCAACCTGCCGAGCTTTGCTTCGTCACGTTACTCTAGTATGTACCCCTATTTCCAGAGGCGGCTTGCATTACTCACGCAAGGCCAGGGATGTGTCAATACATTACTCACTTAAGGGCCTGCTATATCTGCGGTCATGAAGAAATTGTTCTAATTTCGGAAAAATCGTGCGCGATCGCAGCTTCGAGGAGCGTATTTGGGAGTTGTGGGCGTGATGTCGACAATAAATCCAGCAGAACTCGGTATCAATGCTGGAAATGCAAGGAGGAATCCGACTTGGTCTCACGAGCGCAAATTGTACACGCCACGGCACCCTAAGTTTAACAAGCAGAAAAAGAGAAATAAGGACAAATACATCAATGAAAATGCAAATTAGACTCTTAGACTCTTAGACTCTTCCTCTTCTCGGTCGTAGTAGTATAAGACTTGCATGCTAACCAACTACGAATCTTAGGTCAATTTTAGTCATGTATCAACACTGTAGACATAGATACCTATTCATCCAGATACGGTCAACTCGGTTTCGATTGCGGCTTCGTTCCCTACGTGCTGTAGGCTGATCTATGTTGTTTTGGTTCAGGGGTTGACTTATACAATAAGTACGAATAGTTACCTTAGCTTAAGTACCTACTCTAGGTACCTTAGGTAATGTACCTAACCTATCAAACGGATCTAATAGCTGGGATCCACTACGAAAGCTTTATCCCCTGTTCCTGATACGTGCGGGGCTAAAGCTCGGGTCTCTTTTATCGCCATAGTCAAATAAAATTTTTGGAGCTTCTAGATCCAAAAATTTATTCAATATCAAGCTACCCCCCCTCCAAAGTCCCAAAGTCCCAGTCGCAAACTACAAAATTGTAATTTACATCTACGTCGCCATTCCTTCACTCATATTAAACTTGGTTCTGTTCAACACATTTGGTTCAAAATGATGTCTCTCAGAGCTGTCGCGCGCTCAGCGCCTCGTACATTTACTCGTCTTAGTTCTACAACTCTTAGATCATCAAGACTAGTTCAGCCGAGCTCCCTACTTAAGTCTTCATGGGCACCTCTCAGATCATCTCAGTTCACATCGGCATTCTCCACATCGCAATTCAGACAAGCGCCCGCGCCCGCGGCAGAGGTGGATGAGGAGCTGTCAGTCAAGCTCGAGAGCGAACTCCAGTTCGAAAATGAGATGAAGGAGGATGAGCAGCTCCCGGCAAGCGTCAAGGACTTCCTCGAGAACAGCCCATTCGAGCTGAAGGATGAGCCTGGGAAGGAGGACGTCTCCCTAGTCCGCAAGTTTGGAAACGAAACGTGAGTCGCACCCTGTGATATTGAATCGTATATCGTATCTTTACAAGAGCTAACATCCCCGCTTCAGCATCACCGTCACCTTCTCTATCTCAGATCTTGCCAATTACGAGCCCGATGACGTATTTAACGAAGAGTCTGTTCTCGATGATGAAGATGCCGAGTCGTCCGAAGGCAGGCGCACATCGCCGGCGGAGGGCGAGGAAGCCCTTGAGGACGAGGTCGACGGCAGCGATGCGCCGGTGCCTTGCCGACTGAACATCGTAGTAGAGAAGCCAGGCAAGGGCGCGCTTAACATCGAGGCGATGGCGCAGGACGGTCAGATCATCGTCGAGAACTTCTATTACTTCAAAGACGCCAAGTTGGCGCACGGCAAGACTGCTGAGATCGCTCATACTGCCCAGGACCTCTACCCCGGCCCACCCTTCGGCAGCCTCGACGAGGACCTACAGATCCTCATGGAGCGGTACCTCGAGGAGCGCGGCGTCACCCAGGCCCTCGCCGTCTTCGTCCCCGACTACATGGACATCAAGGAGCAGCGCGAGTACCAGACCTGGCTGAAGGACGTCAAGGAATTCATCGATGCTTAGACGGTCAGCGAGGATGGGTTAGGTACCTAATGACGGAAGAGGGGCGGGATAGATGAATGAATAAAAAATTAAAGAGAGGAAAAAAGGAATGACGCCTCTGATGTATTATGAAAAACCAACTCCACATGTATAATAAGAAATGACGGCTTTTAGGGAATCTCCATAGGGGAGGATCGTGTCTCAGGAATGACTACACAAGATTTTCTGTATCCCTGGCTTTCAAAGTATCCCTCTCGTGTAATTTTCGACAATTGAGTTTCTTCCAGTTGACGCGCGTTTCTTTCTAGTATCTGATTTTTCGAACACCAAGAGTCGCCACGTAATCGTTGTTGAATCTATGCGAACAGACACATCTAGGGAAAGGCTGAATTTATAATGGCCCCGGCCTAATTAAACCATTTCTCGATAATACTCTCCGACTCTCGATACTATTGGTCTAATGCTAGTACGTGGCAAAGATATCAAGTATGAAGTAGAAGTGGAAGTGGAAGTGGAAGTGGAAGTGGAAGTGGAAGTGGAAGTGGAAGTGGAAGTGGAAGTGGAAGTGGAAGTGGAAGTGGAAGTGGAAGTGGAAGAGGTGTAAAAAAGGAGTTATATCCTAATTACAAGTGTTTGATATGACTCTTCTCAACTATTAGGCAGTTAACCCTAATAAAATTACTGATAACGTTGCTTATATATTTAGTATGCTTTGTTGCTCTAGTTGACCTACTCGACTGATACTTGGGCGCCTGTTACCTGTAGGTAGCTTGACTTCCTATCTTTCTATACGCCCTCCGATACTCAATATTGATCTAGTGTCTGATAACTAGCATCATATATAGAACTCATAGTGCATTGTATTACTCTATATATTATTTGCAGTCTTATTATATTGATATATAGCGGCCTTCCGCATACCTATGTAGCTTTCTAGCTTACGAAAGCCTCAACTTCAGAGGCTCATGATGTACTACTGATTTGTCTCGTAGTACATACCCTTCAGTAGCATGAATCTCCGCCTGTTAAGCTTTAACTTGGTGTTATTTTACCATTTACTAGATACCACATTAAACACGCCCCCTTTCTAGTTGTTAGAATAAGCTTAACTATAGAACTAAGGCTAATCAATGTGAGAAAAGTTCCAAAGTTAAGAATCGAAGTCATTAAGGTAAGGTATTTATATATCCCGTATATGATCTTGCTATGTACTTAGAAAGGGGGGCTACGAAATAGATACAGGTAAAGGATGACCATCTAGAAAGTAACTTGGCTACTTCTATTATTGAAACAACTCTATTACAGGTTGAAAATCGAGATAACCCTGACATTTACCTGGATAGAGATGTACGTAAAAACACAGAGGATAATCCATATACTTGCTCCCTAGACATATGACTATACGTATACAAGCCGGCCTAACTCCAAGTCCAAGCATAGCCAGCTAGTTACCTTACATTACTATGGGAACTTAATATAAGACCTACAGATCTAAACTAACCAAGAGCCCGGGAAAATACGGCTAAGTGCCAATATATCCACCCAATCTCGAGGCAATACCGCCAAGCTGCAACTCACAGAACCTGGGCATGCATGCATGCATGTACGAATCCCAACTGGTTTACAATACAATCAAACAGTTCACTCTTATTGGTACGAGCCACTCACTTATGCTTGCATGAAGACATGAAGACGGACTTATCGGTCATAATCCAATTTCCCAGCTGCAAAAGCCGAATAACTACCAAGAATATACATCCGAACTTAACGATAGGATACGATATCGACTAGCATACATTCAGAAAGGCAAGCAAGCCATGCGGTCCGTGAAGCCACATTCCTTCCCTCCTTACCAATCAACACGCGACCACAGACGGGAACCCAATCTCGGAGGCGAGCGAGCGAGTGAGCGTATTCCCTTAGGACTGCTCGACGGTGATAGAAGCAGAACCGCTGCTCTGGTAACCCTCGGTAGCAAGGATCTGGTAGTTGTGAGTTCCGAGCTGAAGACCCGCCTTCCCCCAGGCGTCGAAGTGGTTCTTGATAGTGACGGAGCCGCCGACGCGCTTCTGCTGGCGCACGGACCAGAACTGGTAGAAAGTCGAGGTGCCGTCGATAGAGGGCTGGTTGACGCGCTGGGTGCGGTAGACGTCGTACACGCTGCCGTCGCTCTCGACCGAGCCCAGCTTCTGCGCGCCGCTGGACGGGTTGTACGTCCCGAACGACTCCACGATGTAGTACTCGATGAGCGGGTTTCGCGTCCACCCGTACACGGACAGGTAGCTGTTGACGTTGGCGCCGTTCCACGTGCCGTTGTACGTGATGACGCGGGTCGCGCCGGGGTTCCATCCCTTGCCGGCTACGAAGTTGCCCACGTTGGACCACGTCACGTCGTACGAGCCGCCCGGTCCGTTGTTGTAGGTCACCTGGCCGGCGCCGTCGGTCCAGAAGGAATAGAAGAAGCCGTTATTGGTGCCCGTGCCGGCGGGGGTCGACCGGGTGATGAGGTCGAGAGGGGAGGCGATGGCCCCGGCGGCAGCCGTGAGGGCAACGAAGATGGATGAACCAAGCATCTTGTCAAACGGAAATTGATGAGCGGGATGACTTGACTTGACTTGACTTGACTGAGGATGAAGTTTGTCTTTTTTTTGGCTCTTGCTGAAGAAAGAAAAAAAGAAGCTTCTTCAGGGTCTGATGATCGCCGCGGCGGGACAAGATTGCTTATATAGTTGGCGGGCCAGGTTATATTGTTCCCACGATCTGTTTAGCCAATAGCCAATAAGCCAATAAGCCAATAGCCCTCGTTATGGAAAAGGGGAATCGCCAGTCCGTTCCTGGTACCCGAGAAGATGGACGAGTTGGGGATGAGCTGGTTGGGATTAGAATTAGCATGTTTGCGACGATCATCGTGGGGAAGCAATTCTGCCGGCAGCGCCCAACTCGTCGAACCGGGGTCACGATATTGACGTGATGGAACGCTAGCAGATTTTGCCGGCGGATAATTGTAGCTTTATCCTGGGCGAGCCCCTGGCCGCGTTGCATAATGCTGGTTTCATGTTATATGCTGTTTACGTGGCGCCACGATCTAGGCGTCCGATGAAGAAGCCTGGTTGGCTCTTGCGGCTCCCAAGGTTAATATAATTCTATCTGCATGTGGCCATAAACGCATTTAGCCGGCTTCTCGCTAAGCAGGCTATGTTCTTCCGCTGAGGCTGGAGTCGCGGCGGCGATGGCGATAGAACTGACGACGAAGGCATCAATACTGAGGTCAGCAATAAAATAAGATGTAGATGGCGGGCACGAATACGAAACCTCCGGTGTAGCAGTGTAGTAAATGTAACGTGTATGTAATACGAGATCCCACCCAGAGCGTTCAAAGGTCGTGGGGCCTCAATCAGAACCATCCCCCCTCTCATCTTTCTTCACGATGTGATCATGTCATACCAAGACGTACGATAATGATGAGTTTCGTCAAGTGCAGAGTTCTTAATGACGCGATGAGACATCAAGACGAGAACTCCTGCTAGTGCTTGACATGCCAACCTTTCCATCTCACTTTTGTATGTAAGTGGTTTCCACTCTGCGCAAGAAATATATTCTTGATTTAATGCGAGTCCTGATAGACCATCATTGTGCTTTCGCGTCTTAGCATACCGTGGTTAAACCGATGTAATGCCATATAGTCGGTAATGCGACACCATAGTCTGTCTCCCTTAGCAAGTTGTTAACGAAAGCTTCTCACCTAGGATGTGACAATATCGCCTTAGTCTTTCGGCAGGATTGCTCACTGACTAGAACGTGTCGCTGGAGACAGCCGAGGATATCTATTTTCGACGGCGCATAAGTCAGTGACAACCGAGTTGCCAAAGAACATACTTAACGTCCAAGTAATATACCTATACAGACGGACGAGTCGGCCTTTATCGCAGTCAAGAACCCGATCCCTCGTTCATGAAGAATGAGTCCCTACACAGCGCCGTTGAAAATATAAATACCTGAAGACGATGCAGATAAATAAGGCGCCGGAGAGATACTAGGTTGGAACAGCATAGTATTCACTCGAACATGTTCGCTTAACTTACCCATGAAAAAGCCGGAGGGCATCGTACACTAGGTACTCGCCGTGGGGGTACGGCATCGACAATACGAGGAATAATACGAGGAACAATACGCGACGGTGTAGTACCGGAAACCGAAACCGAGAGCAGCGTGATGAGAGTCGTCGCACATACACTTGTCGAAACACACCGCATGATATCACATTTAGATAAGGGCAAAGCTGCAATGTATCATCATAGATCTTTACGCGCGTCTGGTCAGGGTCCGGGTAGGGGACCCTAGGGCTAAGCTCAGCTGAAAAAGGGTTCCCTTCGAATGTTATCTCCGCTCAAGTAAAGATGGACCAAATCTGGTGTATCTTTGGGAATGCTGCTCGAGAACTCCTGGGCTAGGTTAGATCGTTGGGGGGGACCCCCTGCAAGTTATCATACCGCCCAGCTGATGCATCGTGACTAATCGTGACTAGCAATACCTAGGTCCTATGTACATAAGGCAGCGGTGAGCGGAACGTCTTGGTTTAAATTACGGTAGGGTATGTAGAGAGGACAGATTACTAAACATGGTGATAGATAGGCCCCTATATCGTCTAGATGTACGGATTATGTACGGCACATGTCGTGCGACATGAATAAGTGGTAAAGCATACGGAATAGGTATTCTTGATTGAAATTGGACGTGGTCCGTTACCAGGGAACCCGGCGAACTTCGTAAAGAGAAGGGGGTACGGGGGGGGAAGATCCCGGATCGGTTTTCGAACCCACGTGGATGTAAATACAAAGAATAAGCGACGAACCAGAGCCCAACCCCATAAGAGCAACCGAGACCGAAATAATTCGTCCAAGTGATAATGGCGTCGGTAGTCTAAGAAAGCTATAAGGCGCCACAGAAATACATAATAGCAGCGCCAAATATAGGTAATAATACACTTAATAATGTTCGTATCACGACGCCTCCTTGACGAATAGGATTCCTGCCGATAGAGTATCACTGCTTTTGGACAATCCCGCCCTTCCTCCCCACAGACCGGGGCTGTCATGGAAATAGTAAAGAAGAAAAAGAAAAGAAGAAAACGCCTCGACATATATGAAGCGCGTAAGTGGTGCATGTCTCTTAATTTCATTTAATATACCTAGCTTGTATATTTTTTTTTTCTGCGGAAACCCGGTAAAAGCAGTTATCGATGATACCTTGATTCCGGGATTATGAGTAACACTATATGAGGACGCAATATTCGCGTTAATATGCCAGGCGCATTATTGCAGTCAGAATAATGCTGTCATACAGTATTTCTGCCGTCTCTTCGTAAAAAAAGCTGCGCTAAAATTTTTTTTTCTTTTTTTCTTTTCAAGTTACCGTGCTTGAGAAGGGTTCGGTTGAAAGTTGAGGTAAAAATCCTAATATCCTCCACTCATGTGCGTAGGCACACGGTCACCGCCGAACCCTAGGAGCTGCTATGTCATCGGAAAAGTGTGGTTTGGTGAGATTTTCTGTGCCGCAGAGCAGCAGCTTTCTCTGCAGTAGCCGTCTGGGTTCTATCGTTTTTCGAAACCAACGTGTACGTACACAACCGTCATTTTCGATCGCCCGATCGGGTGGACCAAACTATGCCGTTTCCTTTGCTCCTGCTTTCTTCTAGTCATCGTTCCAGAAGGATGCAAGACGAAACCGAACAGACGATTTAGAAAGCGGCTGAAACTCTGCAATCCCATCTGGTCTCGTGATTTCCGTAGGGCTGTCAGAAGTACGTACAGTAAAGTAGATCGATTGATCGCCATTGCTCACAGTCTGACAGAAAATGGTCAGAATCGAAACAATGTTACCCACCACCAACACCGACACCACCACCACAACCACCACTTCGGTGCTCGCTTCACACCAAAGCATATCACCATACCCGCTGCACATTGACGACTTGTACAGTAAGTAGGCTATTCCGTGCCCTTGAGCCTCCATCGCCATCTAAATCTCGTATTAAATGCAACGGCCCGGCCCGTTGCGGGTGGGTTGGCAATTCGATTAAATACGTAGTGTATCTATCCGGGCATCGTGAATAGGTTTAATTTGTAGAAACTCCCATCACGTATGTATGTACCTATCGGCACATCTTGGCGCCGAGAGAGCGAGAAGGGGGGCCTGGTTCCGGATATGGCTCGGAAGTTCCGCGGTTTGCTGCCCCTCTATCCTGGAAGTTTGGTACAGCCGGGAATAGAAAAAGCAAAGTCCTGTCGTGCACAAGGCTAGTAGATTGAGGTGACATGTCATTCAGGAGCAGGGGTGAAAGGGGAGGCCTGACGGGAACCGGTTGTGCTGGACCTCGGATACAACAATCGACAGGGTGACAACCAATACCTAACTGCCACGGAAATGAGAAGTGAGTAGATCATCGAGGAGCAGGGATCAAAGGCATTAGATAATTACATTATAGTGGTTGCAGCCTCATCATTATTCAACCTATGATCCTATCAATCCACTTCGTCCACCCAACGTCGGCGCACAGCAGCCTCATCGAATCAACCGGTAAGCTCACAAAGAGTTCTTGCTTCATCGAGTCCGCCTTGGCCGGGAGTATCAGAGCTGTACCAAGGTTCCACGAACCGTGAGCCCGCCTAATTGCATCCGCCTTAGTTACGGGTACTCCCGGTATGTTCCATTCGACGTCCGCGCCGAAATGTCGCCATGTGTTGAATGCCAGCGCTTCGGGCATCCGTGGGTCATAATTCACTCCTACTAGGCGTGGGTCGGGCGCTTCGCATAGCATGGCGAGGCGCCGGCTGACGTATTCCTGGTCGACAGCGTCGATAGATGCTTTCACGAGCGGGACGAGGCGAGCAAGTTCGCTGTCGTCATCGCAAGCTGCAATTAATTGGGTCTTTAATGCCTTCGTAACAACTGGTAGGGCTGCATTGCCAAAGTAGTTTTCTGTGGCGCCCTTGAAGGCTCTCGTTCGCCAGTTCACCGAGTTCCATAGCATGGCATTCCGTCTTGGTTCTAACCCAGGTAAGTTATTTTCGGTTGCCACGCGGGACTTCGTGATATGCGCAAAGGCGAGGGTAGCCAAGCTTGTGTAAGCCGACGGCGACTCCACCCCGCCATTTTGAGACCGAATCAGCTCTCGGAGTTCCTGCAGTCGCTCGTTCCTGAAAACGAAGATCTTGCCTATCTTCTCGATGTTTGCCATAGACGGTCCAGTCTTTAGGATTCGCGGTTGCGTTGGGCCGCTAAGGTCACATAGCATCGTATATTCCGGGCATCTTTTTAGTAGACGTTGGAATGTAGCGCCGTTGTCGTTGTGTATGGTAATTGGGCCTCTCTGGCTGCGATGGTGTAACATCGGAAACGTCTGCTCGGAAGGCAAGTTAACTGGAGCGTTTCGAGTCTGAGCAGCAAAGCATTCTAGGAAGACACGCAACGAGCCCCCATCCACCAGCCCGTGGTGTAAGAACATAGAAAGTAGTAGACCACCGGGCGGGAACTCTGCCTGTACCTTGGACACCGGTATCGAATCAAGGTTGGAGCTTACTATGCCCGAAACACCGAACCGGGAACCAACGAATGCGCCTGGTGGGAAACCGGCATCCTTCATTCGTGAGTATTCTTGTCGACTCGTTTCGCTTGCGGGGAGCACCTGAAAAGGAATATCTTGTGAAGGTGACCGGTGAAGTGAGACGCTACCGCTATTACTATTAGCCCGAAGCCTCCCGGCGAAGACTGGCCGTTCTCTCGCCAAACGTTTAAGAGCAGATTCGATATGCCGAACTGCGTCGTGCCGCCGCTGATTATCGCACGGGAAGCAGAGTACGACGCATATATAAACGCGAGGTGCGTTCTGGTTCCACACCGAAAGTGGTTCTTGCCAACCAAGATGGTTTTCCTTATCCAGCATTGGCAATGGCTGGCTCACTGCAGGAAGTGAACGTGTGCGTCTAGTAGTAGCATTGGCGAGTGGCTTGAGCGGCCGGTTTTGTAAGTTGCGACGTCGTGGCCGCGTAGTTACCATGTCTTCGCCAATCGGTGACCGCCTTTTACGCATCGTGAACGGATAGCTTGCTTGTGAAGGCATGAGTGTGACTAGGTATGAGGCGCTAGCCTCTTGAAGATGAAGGGGAAGTATTTCACGTGGTACGTGCGAGTAAGTTTCTTTGGTGCTGGAGTATGAAGGAAGTATCAGAGGCTTGGGAGATATTCATGCGCTTGTCGATGAACTCTCTCATCGCGATAGTATAGCTCTGGGAGCCCCGAGGCATGATATCTCTTACTATGTATGAGCTGACGAAAACCAGGAGGGGCGATTAGCGAGAAGCAGAGCTAAGGTTGCGAGAGATGAAGATCTCTTAGACCCTTGCTAGCTGAGATCAAATTGCAGGTCAGGTAATAATACCCAGAAGAAGGCTGGACCACCCTGGTGAGAAGTTCATAAGCTGTTTCCACTGTTTCTAAAGACGTCAATGTTGGGCTGATTATTCCATAAAAGGCTGGCTGCAGATGTACTACCCCTCGTAACTCCACGTCGACCGCGTATGATTACCGTCGACAATCCCCTGCTTAAATGGGAGCCGATGGCGCTAGGGAGCCCATAAAAGCCGTCAGATATGATGTTGGTTTTTGGTCAGAGCCGCGGCGCGCTATCGCATGCAGGGCTTGGGGTCTTCATCCATGCGCTCACCCAAGGGTATGGGCAAGGTCATTTGGTCTGGGCGTCGGACTAGATTTCCGTTTGCAGGCCGTAATAAAGCTCAAGATACTAGGATAGCAACCACGCCTTTCCGCGCGAACGGTTCCCACCCTTTTATACCATTCTCCAAGGCATTGAGTGTCCATTTAAGAAAAATATCTTTGTCAGTTTACACATCAGGTCGGTACAGCAGCTGTATTTGAGCGCCGGACTCACTAAGAGGGTCAGAAGTGAATTCACAACACGTACTAGCTAATCCTTGTGGGGGGACCTTGACTCGGAACATTATCGAGTCGAACTCGCGCTCGGCACTGAGCAGGGGGCATCCGAAATCCAGGTAGATGGTACGTAGGTAAACAAGGGAGTCTGAGCAAAAGCACAAGCTTGTCACTATACGGATGAGTGAAGCACACGCTAGGCAGGAGGATTTTCCTCGTGAAGGCCGGTGGCCAAGCAAATACACGACTGTCCCCTTCAGAGTGAAGCAATTGCCATTCAGGAACGTAGGCCATCTCGACCAACATGTCATGATGGAAAATGAAGACATCCATATCAGCTATCAGCTCTCACACGTCCCTCTCTTCGGACGGTCACAGGCTCTGAACAGCAAGTATCGGCTGGCAGCCTCGTGGCGTGATTCAGGCTGACCTGGAAGACAGCATAAGGTGACGCGAACTTATCAAGCTGTGCGTTCAGATGAAGAGGGCGCGATAGGTCAACAATTAGATACGCCGAGGGCGTGATTCATAGATCAGGTCGGCCGCATGACTCCAGACCATGATCCGAATCTCGGGAGGTAAGGACGAGAAGAGATCCATGGTTGGTCGCGGGCTCGGAGCCGATGATGTGTTGGCTGACTAGAAGGAGGTGATCGACAGATGAAATGCATAGTGAATATATGACTTGTATGCATGGAATTTTCTGTCATAAATGAGTAAAACGCCGGGTTTGGAGATAGGATGCCAACAAGCCGGAGGTGATAAGAATTTACACTCGAATGTGTGTGTATGTGTATGTGAGGTAGTCTGTGTGTCATCTGTGATGTATGTATGTATATTTGTATGTAGTTTGTACTTTACTAAGGTGAATGGAAAGACATCGGTTCCAAATCGTCGGTGGGGGCGGGGAATAATAATAATTAAGTTCATTGTCGTAGATCGAGTGGATTGGAAGTCATCCGCTGCTTCCGTATTCAATAAATCCCCTGCGGCTTCTGCTTCTAGACTCGACTAGGTACCTAGGTACTCGCTAGGCTTGCTACATGTAGGTGGCCCGTACCTTTTCGTTACACAAAATTACTCGCACGAGCTAACTCTTAGTCGAAAATACATAGACACATGTACTTTCCTAAACGGGTAATTGCATATAGCCGCATTGGGTAGTTGGGCTTCTTTTTTTCCTTTTTTTCTTTTTCCCTTGTCTCATTTCGCCTTTTCCTTTTAGTACTAAGCCTCAAGTACCTAATACAGCCTCCTTGCGCAGTCATTGCATTGCATTACATCCAACTACACCTATATGAGCATGCATGGAATAATGAAGTTAGGTGCTTACTTTTTCTGTTTTGTCTTTCGGACCGTTCCCCACTGACGAGATATATCCGTTTGGGTAGACATCCGTTGGAGGGTTACGTCGACGATGATGGTTATATCCCTGGTGTGCATATCCCACCGTCATATCTTGGAGTCGGGATTCGGGACCCATCCTGTTGGGACTGGGGCTGACGGTCCGTCCGGGGACAAGCGAGCACAGCATGATCTGACGATCCTGGTATCGTAGGATTAGACGTATGGCGGGCATAGGAAAGCTCCCGAAGGAAAGTCCCCGGATCGTTCGTCTCACGTCACGCATATTCCTTGATTCTTCCACGAATGCTGACGTGAGGTCCGCAATATCATAAGTCCATGGTCCAATTATAAGGCCACAGTTAACGTCTTTTTTGGCTCAAGGAATCAAATCTGACGCCTCACACAGGCGACAGTCAATGCAGCCTTGTGTAACACCGAACAACAACTCCTCGCAGACCGGGGAACAGCTCCCAGGCAGCCAGTTATCATCTTAAAATCTCACGGCAGATATCTAGAGGCCTCCATACTAAATCATATTGCATACAAACCACCTCAGATAGTATGCGCTGTAAGTCGGACAAAGTGTCCTTCCCCTTGTTGAAACCACAACGGTTTTTAACCATAGTGTCATGCGAGCTATATTGCTTATTAATTCACCCCTTTGATCCCCGGCGAAAAGACGAGGATAGGTTTTACGACTCGAAAATAAGGGCTACGCCAATAATAGGGTGCCAAACTCTGGCGGCGAAGGGAAGCAAAAAGCAATTCTTAGCCATTAATTGTCGGGTGTGTAATGGCGCTTGCATATGACCATGGTCCTTTATGTTTCATTCTAGTAACATGATTTGTAACCTGGTATTATAGTAAACTGCCAATTGGTGAGAATGGTGATGAAGGCTGCAAAACGCAGTTACATACGGAAATGGCTTCCGAAATACTTATCCGTCAGTCCTATGACTTGGGTTGCAGTATGGCGGTTGCCCAATCATGGGGTTTCACGAGAGTCGGGTCGGGTGCAAACGAATAGATTCTCAAGATGCCCAATATTCATTCAATATTACTTGTGGGTTCTTCTCATGGCAACTTCTTATACGAGTATACGGCTGAATCCCAGACACATGACCCAAGTAAATTTATCTGACTTGCCTGTTCAGTGTCATATCTGCATAGTCCCATACAATGCTAATAATTCGTGGCTTTATTTCCGCCTCCGTCTTCCCTAGTAATTTCTCGCCAATCCCCGTTGCATAATGTACCAGAACAAAGATTAAACTTTTCAAGATGAGGATTATAATTACTCTAGATAAAAAGGATATCCTTCGTAGATTAAGAAGATGTTCTGGGAAACATATTACACTAAGGCAATACATGTGATGGTAGTATATCAATCATCTCTAGTTGTGAAGACCGGGAATGCTTTTGAGTTCAATGCATATCAAACGAAGCTGTCCTAGGGTTCCAATTGCCCGGTCATATAGCTGACGCAAACCACGATCTATACAGTGCTCAGATTCGAAATATGACTAGCACCAGTATTTTGCAGAGCAGCCGGCTTCGGCGTATCTCTCATCTTGTTTCAGCTGTCTTACAGATGTTTAAGTCTGACACAAGATGCTACACCGAATATTTTGCTTGTGCGGAGATGGTGCCGGTAGGTTCTACTGGCTAGGTACCCATCTACCTATCTTCCAGGCTATCATATTTGCGCAGCGTGTCTTGGGAAGATGCGATGTTGATATAAGTTAACGGAGACTTGGCATTATTTAGTCTAGACAGAGCCATAGAAGGACCATGTATTATCGGGGTTTGAAGACACCGATTTGAGCTGTCCACAAGCGAGTAAAACTAAAAACTACCTCATGTTGCTCCGTGGATCTGGTATTATGTAGCTTACGTACCGAAACATAGGTGGTTAGCAGTTGGCAGCCCTTTACATAGTCACAATAACTTCTAGGGCGGGCATATGACTATCACGAGGTGAAGCAAGAAGCATAAAAGCAACTTTGTTGTCCCGTAAGGAACTTTGGGCTAATCATGGGAGCTTTTGGCTATACATACTGAACGTATATTTATAAATGTTTCAACTACAATCCTAGCAACACATATGAATAGGAAATTCTGTGTGCTTAATTTGAGATCCCAATGGCCTAATAACAGTCTCGGGTAATAACCTAGTTATTAAAGAAACACGGCTTTCACCGTAACTATGAAAATTCTTGCCCATATACTAGAAGTATCCTCCATTCCACGTGTTTTATATAGAACCCTAGCATTTGGTAGGTAGGTTACTTAAACAAAGCCGTCCTTGTGTCCTTACGCAAAAGTAGCCTTATCTAGGTATACAGTGATGAGCGTTGACTCGTAAAATTCGACTTCCTATAAGGCGACACGAGCTCTCAAGTATGAGTCAGGATAGAAATGAGGGAACAAAGGTGTATAGATAACACATCGAACCTTCAGGAAAATGAAATCCTATTTTTGATAAGCTAAAGCTGTTAGTTACATCTGATCTATAAATTTATACGATCATCTACTCTCACTATAAGTTATTGTTAACGGTAACCCTTGATACGATATATAGCATAGAGTACGATGTAATTAACTAGTAGAAAATTAATGTATGTGATATATTAAAGAAATCTATTGATGCTTACTCCTCTTCAAAACTACGAGCACTTCGGTGCCTTGTATATACTTATCCACCAGCTAGTCGACACTAGGCTATCATCTAGTGAGCCATCTTCGTTACATAGCTGGTTATAATTCTTGTATTCTGACAGCTATGGCTAACGTATAAGTTTTATTCGTCGCTGTATCCATACAATCATATTAAGCATTGGCTTGAAAATTATAATGGGCGTATAGTGTTAATATCGCGAGATACTGAACTACGGGATAAGTTGAGGACTAAGTATGCTTGTATAATATATCACTTAGAGAGAATTAATAGGCAGTTCCGCTCTATAACTAGTGGAAGAACTATGGGTGAGGTCTAGAATCAATTATGCTTCCTCCCGCCGTCTACCTAAGCTTGGCTTCAGACATCATTGGGTCGGTGTATGCTGTGTCTGAAATAAGACTATACGTCAACCTGTTTACATAGAAATGCTGGTTACACCACCTTCCTTTGAGTCGGGAGAGAATGGGATTGATACTTAAGCTGTGGTGTTTTATTTGACCTTATATAAACCCTCTATCAAGGAAGAGTGATTACATAGGTAGACAATACTTGTTAACTTTGAATTTCCCATTTGGAATTAAGACTCCAACATGTTTTATTATCAACTGAATAGCCAAAATATCCCTGGACTAAGATGATAGTATCGCACACAAGTATTACCCTTAAGAGATCCCATAGCTATAGGAAGTTCACGATGGTAAATATTTAAATGCTTAGAACTATTCTAGTAGCGAATGTATATTAAGGATGTAATACGATGGTAGCAAATATACGTAAGTATGTTATATTTAAAAGTAACATCAACTTCACTGTAACTTATTCCGCTGCCAGTTACTTATTCGAACTTCCAAATATTCCCTAAACGGTCTCCACACGCAAACCGAAATTTTGAAACTCAAGGGATTTCTGCTTTTACTTGCGTGTCTTCAAGATTTGGTACACATGAATAACCCACGATGGTAATATGTATATGTAACTACCTACCTAACCCAGATACTACCTCTTACAGATACTACTTACTAAGCCTTTTCATTAATTAACGTAAGGCTCTAAACAACAGCAAAGAAGGTTGTATCGCATCCACACTTCCCGTTTAGGCAGGTTTCTAAATTCTCACTGCATGGCCCGATGACCTGGATACGGCAAACCATGGATGGGTCACATGCAAGAAATACGACACAACAAGTTGCGCCGATCTTGTCGGTACTCAATAGCCTATCTCGTTTATCGACTCTAAGGATTATACGACGTCGTTGGTTTAATGAACCTCCAATTGTCCCTTTCTATTGGTGTTTTCAAGTTGCGGGAAAATGTGTATACGCTAATTGATCAAGTACTTGGGGCAGGGCGAACTTATTGGAATACCTTGCCTAAATCTTGCACTCGGCGTCAAAACTGACCGGGAAAGTAAAATTACTTTCATGGATCAAGTTTTGATGTACCTTATACGTTAAGTAAATTATGAATATAAGACTAGGAAAATCATCAAGGTATGTACATATCTGAGTATATGGCCTACAATAACAGGAAACCACTATCAAATCGTAACGCAGATAGAATCTTATCTGAATTAGTCTGTATACTGAGCGACGCACACGGCATCGTCTTACATCTTTATCTAAGTTCGGTTGTTTTCATCATCATGGGTATCAACCGTTACTAGCCAGTCAAAAACATCGCTGACTATCTACCTCCCGATGCATGCCAATATTGCGGCCGTCTCTGTAGAAATTAATAACGACGCCCCGGGCGTATGTACGATGATGCTCTTCGGCCGTCAAATGCCCCTGATGCCCCATGACCAATGATGAATGCAATCCCAAGGCTAAGCCTATTGTACTCCAGAAACTCCAACACCCGTTGCAAAAAAGAAAGAGCTACCATATTCACACGGAAGAGTTCTTAATAAGGATTTGGTGAAAGTATTGAACATTGTCGGTACTGGCGAATGCGCTCCCTCCAACGTAAATGTCGGTTTGCGAACCGGGGATTATTGAATGGCATTGCTCATAGCATTGCTCATAGCATTGCCTCCCCGGCATCCCATTGATGGTCTTGGCCGTCTAGAGCTGTCGCAATAATTACGTTTCTCGGGGCGATCAATACCACGTATCTATTGCGGTAAGAGAACACCCTTCTCATCGCGTGCCAACATAACTTTGCCCACAATCTTCTCGGTCAGAGTCGCACACCAAGGGTCGACATAGCCTGTCCAAAGCATCGCGGCACCGTAGTTTAGAGGGATCCAAAATGGTAGGGCGATTATGAGACGCCACCCGCTGGGGAACATGAGCGTGCCGTGAATCGTTTCACCCTTGTCGTTGGTGATGGGTGGGGGCACGTGGATTCCATAAACCATCCAGCAAAGAACACTGCGAAGGAGAGGACCGTGTAAAAGATAAACGGCAAAAGACTGCTTGCCAAACCAGAGCAAATATTTGCTTGACATGATATCACGTAGAGCTGGGCTGAAATGTAAACCCAAAGTAATCAATTCTAAGCCAATTCCGGAAGCGAATCGAGGGAAATCGGGGTCCTTGGGAAGGATGCGCTTCAAAACTTCGAATTGGTAGCGTGACCAGGCTACCCATTCTGGGTGTCCTTCAGGATACGAGGCAACGTAGAGACCTAGAAACAAGAAGATCGCAGCCAAAACTTGCGAGACTTTCGGTCGACGAGCAAGCCATTCGGTGGCAGGAGGATGGTTTTGCAAGTCACAGAGGAATACACCCCAGAAGAACTGCATCCCAAAAGCCGCTGCGATATAATTAGCTTTGAAGCATTTGAAGCAAAGAGTCGGAGAAGTGAGAGCGTACCGTCGGCTGCCATCCAGAAATACGCATACATCATCAAACTCAGGACCATCCTGAACTGAGGTCGAATATAGGCCGTGGCAACAATAAAAGTATAAACTTGCATGCTTCCCTTCAGCAATGGTAACAATGTCCATTGATTGCCATCGTACGCGTTTCGACCTCTTGTCCAAGTTGAAATGATGTTCTCAATCAAGTGTTTAACCGACAGGAACACGTTCGCTTGGCGATCGGGTGCGGTCTTACCACACCACCAACAATCACTCTGCTTTGCGACCAAAAACATTCCTAGATTCGCCATTATCCAGATGATGACAGTTGCGAGACCACAGGGTATAACCAATCGAGGAACACGGCGGAGGGCGGACTTGGCGATAGATGTGAAGGCAGCATCTTGGTTGTTCTGTCGGTACAGTTTGATAGGTTTAAGAGCACAGACATAGCCAGTAACAAAAGCGAAGATAGTGACACCGATACGGCCCTGAACTAGGATTCGTAGGAAAGGTAGTTGCATAGGCCGCGGTGCTGAGCCGTTATGAGTAGCTGGGAGGAAAAGGTCGCCATCGAAAGCTCTAGCGATATGAGTCAAAACCACTAGAGTGGATGCGAAGCCTCGAAGACCCTATAAACGGATAATACTGTTAGCTACGAAGAACAGCTGGAGGGTTAGAGTTCGCCTTTTCCATCCCATCCCCTGCTTAGCTTAAACCATGATTCTGATTCGGCGCAATGTCCACCATCCGAAGATTCCGTCTCCATGTGGGCCGATGCCTCTTTCAGCTGAAGTTCCGAACTTTATCGTGACTTTGAAGGTTCGAAATTTTTGAAGCGCCATATTCGATCGATATCCATTCTCGTCGCCGGTCGCATTCCCACTTACAACGTAAATAAACTGGTTAACTTACATCGACCCATTTGACGTTTCCTTCTCTACCAATAGCCATTATGACGAGTTGTCGCGGAATCGCAAAGTTGGTATGATCACTTCGCTGTCATGCCTCGATAGAAGGGGCTTGGATTGGAGTTGGTGTAGCCAGAGAACTGATGTCGGAAGTAACCAACACCTTATCGGGTTTGAGAACCCTGTTTCTCAAGGTACTGCCGTGCCGGACGCACCACCTAATTAAGTAAGGGGTTGAACGAGGGGAACGAGCGAAGCTGGAATGTTACGGTTCGGGTCTGTTGTGTTTTCCGGACGCGCGCAGCACAGAGAAAAGCGGGACTAGATTCACTAATATGCGTATATGCGTCCTGGAGAGGCTGGAGAAGCTGATTAACGATAGGTGGCGACACGCACGCGACCTAGAGATGGATGTTTTTAATGATAAGCTCCGTAAGGCTCGTAGGGCAACCGTCTCAATAAGTAGGTACCTAAGGAATAATATTAGATTGATATTATTCGCCCACGCGCAAGCATATAGATATATGCATACACAACCGCTCAGTTAGTTAAATTCCCTTTTACAGGTTAAGCAGGGCGGACGGATTAAATGCGTGGTAATAAAAGAAAGAACAAGAAGGACAGGATTAGAGGTCAGTTCCCACACACTTAAAGATACGGCAAGAGGCGCAAAGAAGGAAGAGAGAGAAAAGGGAAGTTGGAGGATTTTTTTAAGAGGGAAGATATAATAAGGGGCGGTCGATTGAGACTTGGCAAACAGGATCGATGTGATTTGATCGATGTATGGATCTCCCATATAGTCAAGGTAGACGGCGGCTTGGCGAGAATTGGAGAGGGAAAGACGCTTCGGTTTTCTCTTAAACCTTGGTTACTTTGCGGAGCGAAGCGACGTGCGTGACTGGGCTTTTGGGGCTAACAACTCCACCAATTCAGCCTCTTTTTGATCAGGTACATTGGCTAGGTACTTGGCTACTTAGGTACATAGTGTACATTGGCAGGGGCGGCAGGGGCAGCAGGGACAGTGACGAAATGGGGTTTAATGGGGTTAAATCAGGTGGGTTGGGTTACGTAGTTGTTGGTTTCGTGGTTTCGTAAATTCCCCTTATGTGTTTTGCAACTTCCTGACCGTTTGTCACTGTTGCTATTTACCTAGTCATTTTTTCTCCCTCTTTATTTATCCTCTGTTTATTCAGCTGCCCTAAGTAGCCAAACAAAGGATATATCCTGGCTACCTAAAGCTAAATGTGGCAACGTTTAGTGTAGATTGACTTTAATGCAGTGGGGGGCTTTAATGCCGTAGGTGTACGGTACATATGTACCTATGTAGAGGCGGTACCCGATGCTAGGAATCCCTCGGCTTTCCTTTTCTAAGAAGGCACATACAGGTAGGTAAGTACCACAAAATGAAGGGCCACCTATGATTGGACAAGGAAGCCCTGTTCTCGAATGAATAGACAAGACCTATGTAGACTAATAATAACTCGACTAGGTACCACATAGTACACCTTTTAAGAACTGCATAATCAATTACGACTTTTCTGCTTCGCTTTACTCGCAACTTTCCCTCCCCACATGCGGCTAAACTTGTAAGCATTGATGCGATAACTTCAAACCCTTTAACTTTAAAATGGTTGAAGATATTAGATGTTCACTTACATCGAAAAAGCTTCTTTTGCTATTCCCACTGCCCCGGATAATCGGCATCGACAAGAGTCTTGGCCTTTCTTACTACTTGTCAAGCGACTCTTCCAAGAGACTTGGCAGTGTAACTAAACAGTTCTTGGCTTTCTTATTCTATACTTGTCCCACACGTTGAACACGCCTGAAAACACCGTTGATTACATGGGATGTGGATGTACTGTCTCATTCCTAATTCTATTCTAAGAGGTGCAAACCCGCGCCACACGTTTCCAATGCCTTGTCTAATAACATGAGCTGCTGAGTTGCATTCTAACAGTCTGACAGTCTTCTTTTTTTTTCCCCATGCGGCCTGACGACAATGAGTCTGACGTGCGCTTGTGTCACCCTTCCCGTTCGGATTTTTTTGTGCCGTCGTATCAGCCGCCTCCGGTCCATCAAATTCGACCCAGTTCGTGTTATGGCTCGTGTTATAGCCAAGACTTTTTGAATTCCTGGTTCCAGTAATCCCCGTTTCCGAAAAAACAAAAGCAGCACATCCGGTATCAGGCTGCGATCCCGTCTCCCAGCCGACTTGCCGTGGTTGGAGGGGTTTAGGAAGATCACGATTTTGTTTTTACCACCTGCCGCAGTTTGCCAGCATCACCCTGTAGCCAAATAAGGCTGCAAACACACTAAAATTCTTTGCTGATCGGCATGGCGAACAACCTCTCCTAATCCCATATAGGCATATCTATATTACGACTTCTCTTCTATTCTACCGAGCTGTTGTTGATTCAAGCTTATCTATCTACCTAAGATCTTCTTAATTTTGGATACCGAGCGTTTCACGTTTGGATCCCATACTTTCGGACCTACAGATGCTAATATGCACGCGCTGGCACTTTGAAAGGGAATGGAAGAAAATAACAACTTTGCCAACCGAAATCCTGCTCCTTGCTTAACTAATGACGGAAACATAAGCCCTACCTTCACCGACCCTACTAGTGGTCTTGGCATCGTTTGTCAATGCGGCGGCATAACAATGCGGGCGCCAACCAAAATTGAGACGGCCTATCATTATTGCAATAATCGTTAATATCCACGTGTGGCGACCCCGCAAAGCACCAAGTAGCGAGTTATTAAAGAAAATGATAGCGGCTACATATATGTTAGACAAAGGGAGACCTTACTCTCAAAATTGGTGCGAAAAGCCGTTGCTGATTGCGGCGAATAACATTCCCCAAATGGAATTGTTTAATTGCTAGCCTAATACGCCGGCTCGAATGCTGACGCGGCTTCAATCTCCCCTAAACGTTCTACGATGTAGTATGTAGGTAGGTATGTATGTATGTAGTATATTGATAAAGCCCCTATTTTGAGATCTACACTAAACAGTTTAGTAACAGCTGTATGAATCTACGAAAAAAGGAATAATTCCCCACGTTGGAACTTATTGGTTTAACGTGCAGCTAAGCTCGAACTGAGACGCCGAGGCTCGGATTTTTCTGCCCCGGGAACTTGAGCTGTTCCAAAAATCCCGTATCAGATGTCTATGTCACATCAAAGAACAATCGAAGTGGACTTCGATCAGCACTGCAGCGATAGTAGGTAGTATCGAGTAATTAGTATGGTCACGAGAAATGAAAGTGGCGATTTATGAACAGGCATAACAGAATGACGCCGATTATTTCTCGATATCGCGTATTCATGTCAAATAAGATGTGCCGCCAAGGCTAACAAACGAGAAATTTTTTTTTTACAGCAATTAGAGCCTGCAGGATTCGGCTAAGGCGGTCTCGGCTTGCAGGCTATTGCGGCTCATCACATGTTCTAATTTTATAGATTATACCTAGATTAATAGGTCTTCGCTTAGAGGGGCCGTGTCGTGTGAAAGGATATGTTTTTGACTCTCTTTCGGCGCGGTGATCTTGGGGATCATACATTATCCATGTAAGTGGGAGTGTTTCTGAAACTTCGATATCATCCCCAGACTCGGCCCGGGCGTCGATTTCTCTTGAAACATCTTTTAACCGGAATTGAATTCAACCTACATATCATAAACTAACTGAGATCTTCCTAATTGATTTACATTTTCATAAATACGATGCCGAGCCGCATAAAACCAGGCCCGGCCACTTGGATTTGGAAGAACTGACCGCTAAATCCAATTGTCGGCTCTTCTCGTGTTATAACGTCTAATTTTATCCTGGTTAGAAGGATGTAGCATCGAGCACTTACGATGACGCGGCAGCTCTCATTAATAGGGTGAGAACCCCCAGGCCGCGTTTCTCCTGACAAGACCTGGGGTTCTCACCCACACTAGAACGCGAATAGGGTCAGCATTCTGTACCGAATGGCTTACCAGATGCGATTGAGCTTAGTTAATGGTTGCGACGACCTCGTTTCGACTTACGAATATATACCCGAGTATGCCGGCCATGACTTTGACAATGTCAGAATGGGTAACACGGTATGCACTGTCTCACTCACAAGGGCTTTCTTGATTCTCATTGGGTCCCGACTTGTTCTGACGCTGCTAGTTCGTCCAATTGCTTGGGGTAAGCTTCCTTGACCATGTCGTTTACAATATGGGGTTTTGAGGTTTACATTCATAACTCGCTGCCTCCACTCACACGTGCGGCATAGGTACTCTACATCGTTGTAACGTTCCAACACTATCGACTCACCATATGTAGACCCATGGCTCCCGTCGCGCTAACCACAACGATATGGTACATATATGAGATACGTGTATCTAGGACGGTAGTATGCAGAGATCTCGATTCCTTCGTCGGAAGTTAGCTGGATTCTATTTGGGCACAATGCTGTCTATGAATTCGGTAATCGTTTCGTAGGTAACACCTCATCAAGACCTAGAACTATTGCTTAACCGAGTAGGTACTGAGGATAATAAGAATTGACTTCTAGGTCTAGTTAAAGGGGATAGCGAGCCGCTTAATAGGTAACTGTTTAGGATACGTCGTTAGTAAAACTCGCCTGCCATTCCTATCCCCATAAAAGGTTCTTTAGCGCAGAAGGTGTTATGTCCAACTGAGCAAAGTTTACGACCTCATACTTTTGTCGGATCGATCCTAGATAAATAGAATATGTCCACGTTAGGCTACTCTAAGAACATCCAAAGACGTGGCCACCCTCGCTTGCTGCCCGCGTCAAATCGATGATTACCATAAGCATCGGACTGACTGCCTATCTAGGCGATGAGCGTTGCCGAATATGCGAACTTGGGCTCAACTGTGTCTAATGTACCAGCTGGATGTTTCCGACTCCCAGTTATCATCGTGCCACCCAATGATGGATGGCATCTCTTTCCGCACTAGACCAGAATTTGCCCTCGGGTGGTCCCGACAGAAGGATACGATATCTACATAACTCACTCTTCCTCTTCAATGGATGCAGATTCCGAGCATTGATCTAAGGTACGATTCCAGCTAAACGATAATATGTACATGTTCTTATACATATACCCGTATGTTAACTCGCCATGTCAACGGTATGAGAGGGGAGGGATCTCGAATATACGTATTCTTTGCCAAGATATCATATACCGTACCTGGAAGCAAGCCCTTGACCACTCATTTCAGCAGTCGGGATTTCCGAATAGGGGTACATAACGCGATAGTCATAAACTAAAGAAAAACCCCTACATTATATGTACCCTTTTTGTCGTTCTTCCCCTCTAAGGTTCTAAAAGTGTGCTAAATTATCAAATGGCCTTTTACACCCCTACCAAATACCTTCAATTCAACTTTGCTTCGGTTCGGTTCGCGATAATAGACTTAACTATTCGAACTCTACATAGAAACGAGACATGTACGGATATTGTAGAATTGGCGATCAGGGGTGACTCGAGGTGTCGTAAATAATAATTACGATAATACCGACAGTAGACCCTAGTCACAGGTTAAGGTATCCCTACCATTAATCGCTTACCGATTAACGCCCACTAGTGTTGATTCCACACGTGGCAGTTCTTGGCTGTTTAAGAGGTTACCTGAAGATACAACAGCTGTGATAGAGCGTAAAAGTGAAGGTCTGGGAGGCTTATCTGTATTCTGAATATGTACTGCAGATACCATATGACACCTGCCAGTAAATATACATACCCTACATGTTCCCCTATGCAGGTAAGCATGCTTGAAGTCTTTAAAACATATCAGCCGTATACGATAGACCGCACTATCTAACCTATTACGGATAAATAGCTTTACAGAAATGACAGTGAATAAGCACACGCACACACAAGTTCATATCAATACAACTAACTATAGTTAAGTTAAATAAAGCTATGGCAAAATCTAGATTGGATAAAATATGAATTATTAGTGCTCTAGGGAGCGTTCATACACTATCTAGTAGTCTATAATTGACGTATCTCGGTAAAAATCCTAACCCGATCACCATTAAGGACCATAAGCATCATGTCGAACTGCTGGATTAATCGTCCGTGTCTTCGGCCTAATGTCTATCCGTACAGTTATAACATCCATACTGGCCGTTGGGTGCATGGATCCATGTCGGCCACCAAACCTTCGTATATCCGGTAGCGTCTCTCTTTACTACCACAAAGCCTTGGATCATCGTGGAAAGTGTATGGTTAGGATGTATTCCTGGGAAAGGGTAACAGGTTTCCAAGGCAGTGGAAATATTGTTGCTAACACTCTCATTTACAGACTGGTCCTCGGGGTCGCCGGGATACTCCTCAGCAAGAATTACCACAAGATACAATACCGAAGCGGGGCCGACTTTCCCTGGAAAATATCCAATGTCGTCAACGTGTTGGACTTTGCTCTCCAGGTATTTCTTGACCTTGTTCCTGTTTGTCCTGAAGTAGGCTTCGACAACATCGCCATCGAGAAACTCTAGTTCTAACGACATAGCGGGATAATTCGCGAGTTGAGTTTTTGTTGTATGTGGATGCCTGATCCTGTATTGACGGAGAGTTGCGAGGCTGAGGGCAATGATGGGTCGATGCTAACTAAAGTGTACCTAGGATGGAAGGTTATCTGGATAGTATTGTTTTATAAGAAAATGTCAGTCGTACTTTTGCAAGACGAAACGCTGTACCTGATGTTAGTAGGATAATCAATGTGTTGTGACTAAATATTGTTAGAGTAGTATATCAATGATATCTGAGCTGGCACCTGTGTAGTGATATCTTTGATTGTTAAGTGAATTTTTGGTTGGAAGTTTAATATGTACTAGTTAACTAGCAATTCAATAGTTGTATAGTCTTATGATGGGTTGAAACTGCACCTTAATACCTATTGTTCACAGTTGTAAGTTTATCAAACTCTAGCTCGATAGGCAAATGCGGTAATTGCCACAAGACTCGTATTTAAAACTATATTCGTAACTTGTATGTACATGTATACAATATATTTGAGTGTTTGTGTCTTTGTATATGTTAGCACTTTGTAATTGGTGGATCTCTTACTATTGGCTTTTGATGTGTACATCTACGCTTTATAGAAAATTTTACTAAAGCCAATTTCTTCAACAACAGTAAACAAGTTCTTTGTCAGATTCATTAAACTAATGAAATTATTCAATGACGTTACCCGTGTAACTTGATCTGAAAGAAACAGTACCAACGAAGCTGGGTTTTACGTGTTAGACCTCTGACTCTTGTTTACCTAGATCGATAGGAAATATTGAGTGGAGTTAATACGCCTCATGTTAGTAAAGGTTTCCCTATGAGTTTACATCAGTGTTTTACATTATATGTGTGTTCTTGAGTCACTAGTGGCTTGGTTTAGGTTATTTAACATGGCTATTAGTACGACAAAATCTTACGAGCAATCTTAGAGGTCTATTTGAGAGAGAAGAGGTAGTTAAAGAGATAGGTTTCATGCCATTTACGGCTGAACTGGTTGAATGATGTTATTGATCCTGAGAGCCCCACTAGTCGCGTTGTGTCTGTCAACTTTTATTGGAGATGCTCAACGGGGTCGTTTGCTGGAAGGATTGCTGCCTGGCTGCGGGGGCCCTCTCATTAGTCGCTACATACGGAGAGAAACATGTTGTTCACTTAATTAAGTGCGGCTCATGTGTATCTTGCCGAAATCTATACCGATTGTATGAAAACTTGTAACTAATAATACCAACCTTTAAAGATTGTATTCGCACCGTTATCCAATATGATGGACAATATGATGGAGATGTCCGAGGAGCTCTTTGTTTCCTTGCCAAAAGGCTGTAAGATCTGTTATCGGACATTCGGCAACCCGTCAGACCCGGCCATAATCATTATTTCGGGATATGGAATGTCCATGACACAGACGCCTGATGCGTTTGTTCGATTGCTCAATCCACCAGATCATCCTCACCTCATCGTCCAATTCGATTATCGGGATACTGGCCGTTCGACGTCTTTTCCCGAGCCACCTTACGGAGAGCGCGCCTACACGTTCGATGATATGGTAGACGACATCGTAGGTCTTATAAACCATCTAAAGCTTGAGCGTGTACACGTAATAGGCACTAGTATGGGCGGACCAATTTCCTGGCTAACAGCTGGCCGGCTACCCGACATCGTTGAGAGTCTGGCTCTCATCTTCACAAGTCCGGTAGGGCGCATACAGGATGAGACAGACAACTTGCCGTCGCTGCAGATGGAGGGACACTATACACTCACCGACGCGTTTGACCCACCCACGGATAGGGATGATCACGAGGGCTGGATCAAAACATATGCAGCGATGTCTCTCGCTATGGCGACGAAACCGCCTACCGAAGAAGAAAGGGCTGACGCGAGACGCATGTCCGAGATTACGTACTATCGTGAGCGGGAGAGCGGGACGATGTGGAGTAAGACGAATCATTCGGATGCGGTAGGCGTGAGATGGCCTAGGGAAGCGCTTAAGCTTGTCAAATGCCCGACCGTCGTTATCCACGGTGCTAAGGATCAGCTGTTCTCTGTGGACCATGCAAAGGCTCTAAGGGATGGCGTGGAGGGAGCAACGTTGGTGATTATTGACGACTGTGGGCACGAGTTGCCGCACCGGGCTCTAAAGCCCGTGGCGGATGCGATCCTTGCCAACGCGAAGAGGGGAGAACAGCTGAAGACGGCTGGGAAGTAATATAAACTACATGGCATTTACTGTAGCTTTGTGGTCATTATGGCTGTTAAGTTTACCGTTATGTGTGGGTCTCTCGTCAAAGATACAATACTGAATGGATAGTAAAATTGGGAAAGAAAGGCAGTTTGAAAAGGGGGATAGATGATTAGTTAAAAATGGGAGACAGTCTATCCAGGGCTACCAGCATTGCTCCTGATGGGTAGTCTATAAGAATAACATGATATAATGATGTTTCAAAGGTCAATTTATATTGTGTTTTACCATGTTATCATAGCTTCTAATTAAGAATTAACGAACGTCAGAGCCTCAAGCTAACCTTAGACGCCCCCTGACCTGCTCTCTCTCCTGTTTATCCTTACCTACGTAAAGGATTTATGACATGTACCTTACCAATCTCCTCCATACTCACTACTTGGCTCGGCGAGTCCGTCACGTTAAGGTAATACACGGTATCTCCCGCTGTACGGACTTACCTCCTGCACAACGAGGAATCCAAACATGTCCTTTAATGTGCCCGAGCAGTTATCGCGGACGTCAAATGACATCAAGGCCTCCTCTATTTGCGCAGTAATATTCGTAAGGTGGTCACCATTATATAAACTAGTAAGGATAATGTGGAGGTATGCTTTCTGATCGGAAACGAAACATTGGACATCTTCAACGAAGTCAACTCTGCGGAAATGAGCCTTAATTCGGTGATAGTTGTCCCCAAAGTACTCCTGGGATTTCTGGCTGTCGTGTGACATCCTTATACTGGGTACTTTTACTCTGGGAGGTGCTCTATAGATCGGAATGAAATTGGTGAACAAATGTTGGCAGAGTTCAACGGGGAGGCAGAAACCGTTATATAAGCGTTAGGTAGAACGAATCATCCAAGCTTCGTGTTTGTGTCAATTTGTAGTTAGATCCGATTCACGTAGGGTCTATGTGAACTTATATTTCACGATGATTCACACATAAATATCGATTCAACGGAATGGAATATAAGCAAAAACAGTGATACAACGGCTCTAATAGTCCAACAAGCCTTTGGTAGCATACATAAGTTTAGCATCTCATCCGTCTCTAGTTCTGGAAATTCATAATGACGCTAGTCTTTTAAGCCAACCCCTTCCATATTCCTCTAGGAACCTATGTATGAGTATTTGACCGAAGATCTGCGTGACCTAGTTACAGCTACATAATATCGTGACAGGCAACCAGCTCATAACCATATTCTCTACAGATCGTTACTAATCAAATGAATCATAAACATTGCCCTAAAAGCGACATGATTCACTCGAAAATTCGATATTTCCAAAGTCCTCCATGAACATATCACGGGGCTTAAAGACCAAGTATGGTCCATCGTGGGTTGACGTAAAAATATCATGTAGATGAAATTCACCTTGAGGGTTTACACTTTTAAAACTGTACTAAGAATAATTAACAAGAAGCAAATAAAAAGCATAGACAAGATATGAGCGCATACTAACCTCGTTGTGATGAACCGAGTAAGTATTAACACCAACTACTGTGCCCTTAGGAATGACATGGCCATCAAGTATAAAAGGTCCGTTGCCCTCTTCTTCCGGCGCTAAGTGTCTCCAGAGTGTCCCTAGTGATGGCGGGGACAACCTCAAAGCTTCGTTAATGCAAGCTCGAAGGTATTGACAACTTGTAAGTCTCTTCCCACAAATTTCATTTCCGGTTTGGAATGCCGCTCGGATCTCTGTAGCGAGCCTTGAGTAGCACTATGGGGTCCGCGATAAATAGAAAAATGTAGCAGTCAGGGCCGTGGCGGATATATCTCATCCTGTATAAGCATATCAGTTTTGGAGTATAATAGAAAAAGAAAAAACATGGCGGTCCTGCTAACGAATCTGCTATTATGAAGAAGACTTCTTCGTACCAAAGATCACCAAGTCGGAGACCTTCATCGTCTTTTACGTTGCAGATGCGACCAATGCCAGAGTATATGTGGCGATGTGCATGTGTGTCAGCAGCCATACGACTACGAATCATTGTTTCTATCAAACGTGCGGTCTGCTCTCGCTTTTTACGAAATAGCAGATTGATATAATGATGGAGCTTATAATGTGGAATGGCGGTCGTTTGCATAAACACGTTCATGCGATGATTTATTCGAGCATGCTGCTTAACGAGAAACCAGTTTTCTTCGTTGGTTTGAAGGTTTAATGCATATCCGAAGGAGAGTAGTCCGACGATGTCAAAGCTTAGGTAGCTGCACAGGTCTTTTACGTCAATGGGCAGTTGGTGGTCTGTAGAAGTTATGCGTTGGATAAATATATCGACCTGCTTTGCCATCAGAGGCATTCGCAGTAGCCGGTTCAACAAGCTTCCGCTTACGGCGATATCTAATGAATTCCAGATGCTATGGGCACCCGCCTTTGATTGCGTAGCCAGATAAGTTGGCGGCTTGGTGACGCTTTCATTTTGGTAGATGTCTTTTTGCGTTAGTAATTTATCATAATATTGCTTTTCGTCTTTAAGCTATCTCGTAAAGCGGTGGCAGAGTCGAAGACAAGTCTGTTTGGCCCTAGCCGGACAACAGGTCCTATTGTAAGTCAAGGTCAACCATCTGTATGAATAGGTACCTTTAAGGTAAATCAAACACAAGACATGGTGGGGGTAGTATCTAACCATATTCCTGATGAGTTTTCCAATTCTGGATATAAAAGTTTCGTTTAGTTGCGAAGTATGCGGCGTAGCTATTAGTAAATTTAGCGAATAGAGTCCGGATAGTTTCGCAATGGATGTAGAAGTAACTGGTAGCTTAGAACAAGAGCAGCTTTTGGTAGATAGTTAGTAAGGACTTACTTAAAGACGATACCTACTATGAGCTCCTTACCAGAGATATGATGCCACAGACAACGCATACCGCAGTTTTGGTGAGCGAACTAGGAGTAATCATGGTAGGTGATGATTTGCTAGAAGAGGAACAATGAAATTTACATAGTTATTTTCACGAATAAACTTAGTATTGGAAGAGGGTCGATGTCTAAGACACGTGTTTGTTCGACAAAGGATACGCCAATATCCCATTCTGGCGCTGTAGGACGCCCATCTCTTCCAATAGCGACGTCTTGGCATCTTGTATTTACCGACTTTCAAATAAATAACCACCATATTAAGAATAATAATCGTAAACTAATATAATAAATTATTTTATTACATTTTCAAGAAGCTACTGTATTTACCATTCATCTTCTCTTAGTTTTAACAAGGTCACAAGTATTATTTTCAGTTTAATATATGATGTTATTTCTAAGGGAGAATGCCAAGACTGTGTTATCAGTTCTCTCGATTGGCAATGAATGCACTTGGGCTCGCTACTGAATGATAAGTACTGTTAAATTGAATTAAGCTACGCTTGATGATATCTTCGCATTTCGTACTATTCAAGACGAATTCAGATAGTCTCATTATCATACAAACACACATCATACATCATACAGTGTACAAGTGCAGCATTAAGGGTTTCCTCCAATCCATTTAAATTCTTACAAATTTCCCTTCACCTTACCCTCAGCCTCTTTAGCTGCACCCTTCGCTTTGCCTTTTAACTCTTCGGCTTCGCCCTTCAATTGGCTACGGATCTCCTCCGCTGTACCTTTTACCTTGCCTGTGTCTGCTTCGCCTTTTATTTTCGATGCCAGGTTGGCTGTTAAAGTATCACTAGTTAGCAAGTCTATCACTACTTTATTAATAATATGAATTGGTGGTAAGATGCTCACCCCCCGCATTGATACCGTCAACTAGTTTGTCCGAGACCTTACGATCTACTGTTTTTAATGTGTCTTTGGCAGTTTCCGTAACTGACTTTTGTGCTGCGATGCTTGTGCTAAAGTGTCGCGGGGCGGGGACCACGGCAATTCTGGAGGTGGTGGCCAGACGGCGAGCGGTGACTTCGAGGAACGACATGATGACAACGGCTAGTTTGATGCTTGTGCGGGTAGCTTATTTGTGTTCGGATTGAACGATTTTAACTTTGGGATGGTTTAAGTAGTGTTGCAAATATAGATGATTGTAGATTTAGGAGTAAAGTATGAATAGAAAAGCGGTAGAAGATATAATAACGTAGGTAGGCAAACGAGAGCTATAAGAGGGGATTGGCAAAGATGATGGTTAATGATGTCATAATTATATTCATGGTTAACATTCCAACCAATTAGCCCAAACATACTTCCAGAAGAGGAAATAGCGCAGGGTCCAAGCGTCGTTCGAAAGATCGTCGTATGCGTATCTTTGCGCCCCGAGGCAAAACTTCAGTGGGGAGTGACGTCTTGGATGACTTTGGTTTATTTTTTTATATTTTTTTTTATATGTCATTTAGCCACTTTATAAATGACGCCATAGTGCATTGAGGCTCTTCACCGATTTATAAGTATACGTCCAAGTACCTTTTACATGATCTTCGGAAAAGAGACATGAAGTTAGATAAATGTACTTTATAGAAGGTACCTAGGTACCTCTGTTAAAAGTTCGGCTGATACTTGGTACGTGCCCTATAAAAAAGTCCCCTCCATCTTTGAACTGATTGGAATGTCTATAATGCCCGAGTTTACGAGGGGTTATTGTGTCGAATTTTTTCCATGGCCTAAATAGGAAAGTAACTCAATGGGCAGTATATGGCCGGTGCGCAATTATGTAAACTCGGGCATATTGTGCAGCCCGCAGGGCTGCCTCCAGTATAATAAAGGTTACTCTGTAGCTAGTTGGTACCTGGAGTGATAGTTATTATTTACGAGGTCACTTGGAAATTTATTTCACAACGTGTTCTTTCTTATATAGCATATAAGTGACATACAGCTAGTGACATGGTTAAATGCCTCGTTAGAGCCTCCGTGTTGGTCGTTCTTTTCAACTCTTATAAAGCTACCAGCCACATTGCGCTTCACACATGCACCGCCTAAGAATATAAACAATAGTTAGTAATGATGATACTAAGCTAAAAGGCTATAAGGCTGCAAAACAGATACCATTATCTTTGAGCAAATAGCACCCCGTTCCGGAAATTAAACTCATTGTTTATTCTTTGTTGTAATATGTTGTTACCACAAACGGCCATTCATTCTGTTGCACTTTATAACCATCTGTAAGCTTGAAGTGCTCTGCTTAGCTGCCCACAACGAATTAAGTAAACGCATTATCTGTTTTTAACATACGAATTTTATGAATTTTAGTTTAATCAACTACTAATATTGATACTAATATTGATACTGTTAATATTTGAAGTAATCACCATGGCCGACCAGGACGATGGACAACCAAAAAACTATTATGAGAGAATTCAATTGCAGAACTTTAAGTTCCAAATGTTTCGAAGGTTTGGCTGGTCAATGAAATGGGATAAACAATACATAAAGGATAACCGGAAGTTTTGGACGCGAGTTGATCTGCCTAGGGTCGGCCCCCCACCCATCTTCGGTGAAAGGCCTGTAGACTGGGCTCAGAGACGATATCACAACCCTTCGGCAATATCATCAGCGAAGCCAGATATAGAGGACCCACGACACGATAATGATCCGACCGCTAATAAGGCGAGAGATGCATTGCAAAATGCCAAACATTACTTTGGTTCATCTCTGTTCCGTTACCAGAAGGTCTTAGGCTTCGGAGGTCGTGAGTAAACCTTTTGAGGATGGAGACGTAGATCTGGTTCATAGCACTATATTTAGTTGAGTAACTGCTAACCCACATAATGATGGTAGTGGGACTGGCACTTCACTACAGGTATGATGGTGAAGGGACCCCTAAAGACGTCGCCGTAAAACTCTCTCTCGCGTCGTGGGAATCAGACGATTTACGGAAGGAAGGAAGAGCCATGGAAGTAAGGTAAACCCAATATGAAATTATAGATACGGATTGCTTACAATACATCTACCTAGGCGATGTTGGGAGCAGTGCATGCCGTTCAGCTGGTACACCCACAGGAGGTCGGTAGACAGCCACTGGCTCCATTCTTTCTGAAACCAACAGTAGACGACTCTTCCGACGAAGAAGATTCCAGTGGCGATGAAAGCATTGATCAACCACACCGTCCTCCAAGAGTTCCCCGTCATTTTAGGTCCGCAGAGGAACATCAAGCGCGGAGGCAAAACTACAACAATCGCTATAGAACGTGGTATTACCGTAATGCTGCATTGGAGGCTAGGAATGATTACCTACTCCTCGAGTATATCGAGGGAGGTGATCTCCGGATGCTGATTAATAGAATATCGGAGGCAACCCCAGGACCTGGAGGACCGGGAGGGGTCACACCAATCCCTAATAGAATACTTGTATGCACTATTGAGATCCCCCCCTTTTTCTTTCTCTTTTTGGCTTGTCTCCTGAGGTTATTGTTAGAGGTAATTACTAACTCTCGTTGTTATAGTGGGCATTATGGCTTTGCTGTAAGTTGAGATACTCTATGGGCAATGCTTTTAATTTCTAACCAATGTAGTGGTACGGGCCTGTGTAGGGCTGAAATACCCTCCCCGTAAATTCCATCCCCAGCGGTTTGACAGGGTCGACCTGATTGAGGATGCCCCTCCAGCTCGCAAAAGGTGGAGGGCGAAGAACTGGGTCCACTTTGATATCGACCCGACTAATAGTAAGTAGTCCTTCCTGAGAATTTCTGAGGCGTTACCAGGTAGCTTATGATTATCTAGTTTTTGTTGGAAATATTGAGCGCCCGGAATGGGACGAGCCGGCATCCGAAAATGCACCTTTCACGAGACCTGTGACTCCTGGAGAGGGCTCATCTTCTAGGGAAGAATATATTCCAAAGACTGCACCTACAGCAACCATAAATTACTTCTCAGGAATGCTTCGACAGTTGACCGTAAAAGTGACCCGCGGAGAATCGTCTACGGCACAGCAAGGTAACGCTCCTGAAAGGGCATCTCGCAAACGAAAGTATGATGTATATCATAAAGATAGGGCAATAGGCGAGCATTTATTTGTCCCAAAACTAAAGGTGTGTAAATTGTATTATCTGGGGATGGTTTCATGACTGCTAACCGCCAACTGATAGCTCGCAGACTTTGGGCTAACGGAACACATTAAAACTTTTAAACGAAAGTCCGTGATACCTATTGATTCCATTAGTAATGCCGCTGACAGAGATATAGCTATTACTATGTGAGGAGGCGAGCGGTTGGCAAGAGTTCATATCTCGCGCCTGTAAGTTATCCTCCCCTAGTTTCATGATTTCTAGAGCCCGTATGCTAAGTCGAATGCTACCTACCTATAGGAACAATTCTCGGCGGATTGGGATACAATTCCCGGCGACACCGATGGGCCAGAGGCGGGAGAAAATCCAGTGGCAGGGAGCTATAGCGCGGCAACGAACGTATGGGGTATCGCATTGGTAAGTACCTAACTCATCTTATATAGTTAAGGTATCTATAAGGTATCTAGATGGTTTGTTTCTTCATCTAATTCTTTGCAAGACGATGTGGATTATCATAACCCAAAGACAACCACCATCACCACCTCAACCTCAAATACCACCCGGAGTGTATATACCAGGTGGGAGGCACGCAGTGAATATCGACGACGCACTCAGAGGAATGAATCCAAACCTACCGATATCCTACTGCCCGTTGTTAATGGACGGACAATTCAACAACGTCGATGAAGACCTCAGAAGAACAATATATCAATGCATGTACCACAACCCGAGTCATCGCCCGACAGTTGAGGAGTTACTAGTTCAAGGACGGGTAGGGATTCAGAAAGTTTTCCCTAACGAGACCGACGAAGTCGTCAATCGCTGGGTTGATAGATTCATACTGAGCGCACCGACCGCCTAAAGGTAGATTTGGTAGAGGGATTGCATGATAGACATGGAACGAACATAGAGCTGAGAAGAGATTGTACGATATTTTTGTATATTATTATGGAAGGATTGAATACCATTTAAGTGTATTGTAATATGATTCAAGGATCGTCGATCGTGCTGAGGGAATGTATTTATGAACACCTGTCTGTCAGCAGCCCTGCGTCGATCGCTGACGGAGAGTGTACTCGTAGCCGGTTGAATTACGAATTGTCCGAGACAGGAAGAAACCGTCGGGTTTACCTAGTGAATATACGCGAGCTGGGAATGATAGTAAGACGACTCGTTCTATATCCTAGTTACATGAGGCTGAATGTGTTGGATTGGTATCTCTTAACTAAGCTGATAGCTGACACGCCGAGAAAGGTACCTAGCATGTAGCGGGAGTGATGTCACTGGTGAGTTTTATTTAGCAAGATCTTAAAGATAGAACAGACCCTTCTTCTTCTTCTAGCACGCTTATAGAAGTGATCAGTGATCTCTGGGGTCTGTGCGTGGGGAATGGGGGTAACCCCTTAACTTATAAACCCATGTTTCTAAAAGCGCGGGGGTTCCGAAGGGGTGGGATGTGTGGCTTGATCCTCTTTCATCCCAATGATACCTTTCGACGTCAATCAACAGAAAAATAAGTCCTTAAGGTATAGAATACTTGTTATAGTCCAGGAGTATGAAACAAAGCTTTGAAATAAGTACTATGTAATTATCAGCTAAGCGCTTGTTATTTCGCGTCTGTTGACGACTCGGTGGGAATATTTCAACTTCTCCCTTCTTCGACCTACATCGAGCGTGGCTCAGGTACGCCTTCGCATGACGATGTGGTGTCACGAAGATGTTAAATCAGCCTAGCCACTTCGATGACCGCCCGATATTTGTTTGATCTTTATAGATTCACTGGCCTACATCTTTCGCACTGCTACGTATCTGTGGGAGTTCGGTCAGGGCCCGTCTCTGTGTTAATAATTCCGTATTGTCTAGCATGGCGTTTTGTCGAACTTCGGTATTCTTAACATGGAAACGGCATAATCAGCGCTAGTAAAAGTTGACAGCTACAACATATTTGCCTTTAATAGCTGCTGATGCAAGGCACTCAGCTAGCAGCGGGAACGATCTACAATGTGCCGATCGTAGCAAGCAATATGATCCTAGGAGGATTATGCAGAAGCCATCTGCATATGCGATCCGGCCGGGAAGACTATTTGGATACCTTCCAACAGCATTCTACGTCTCTATTATCTGTGATCGCCATGCTGAAAGTATTAGGTGATTTAGGTAAGGACGCGACTCGCAGCCCGGCTCTCAGAAGCCCGTCATGGAGTTCTATTATTTAAAGGTCATTCATCTTCCTCGAAAACCCAGATTTCTTATGGAGTTATAACACCATAGCGACCCCGGATAAACTTGATTTCATCAATTCACACTATCTACTTCTTATAGACCATCAACTATCACGGTTAAACCATGAAGACCTCTACGTCCTTGTTCTCCGTCATCGTAGGCATCTGTTTGGCAGGTGTTCAGGCTGAACTGCCCTACAACATGCCAGAGTGGCGTATGCGACCCCAAGTCATTCAGTAGAGTTAACGAGCAAAAGCTAATAGAGAATGAGCAGGGAGAGGAGCCAGCCCCCCTATTATCCCATCAGAGCACCCGACATGGCAATACCCTCACCACCAACCTACTGGTGAACCGCATCACCCTCATCCGACTAGTGTTCGCCTACCTGGCCATCACAGACCGCATCCCACTAGTTACCCTCAACCTACCGGAACTACTAGTCCTCACCAGCCTTGCAAGACTGCTGCTGACTGTGTATACCTTTCTTGCACGCAGCAGATGCCTCGAAGTGAGCCCACATGCGTCCAGAGCCGGGTTGCAAGGTAAGGCTCGACTATTAACCCCTTTTAGTATGTAAATGTTGCGTATAAGCTAATCCTCCCTAATTAGGTTCTGTTCATGCACAATTCCAAGGGCGGAATAAGACAAAAGGAATAAATAAAATGATGACTCGGTCACTGGGTACTTCTTGAAGTATCCTTTTTTCTTAGGCTTTGCTAGTTAGATGTTGTGCAGTTATGCTTTATTTATTTGTTATCTTGTTCAGTTATAAAATCAAAGATTCAGGGATCCTCTGAAGTCTGGTGCTTGTCTTTAGTTCATTGTCATATTACTGCGAAATCTCTCACGATGGATCAGACTTACTGCTCCCTACTCTTGATTGAATATATCAGTGAAGTGCCGCATTGAACCCTCTGAGTGCTTTTAAAGTTTACGGCTTGACAAGCAAAGTGTATAAAATTTGATACTCGAGATTATAGACACATATCCCAACAATCAGAAGAATCCACATTGTAAGAGTCACTATTATGGTCAGAGTGGTAGGTAGGGGGGTAGTAATAGGCCTGGAAAGATAAGAGTAGTCTTGGGTAGGGAAATATTTATAGAATATTATACGCTATTGGGTCAGCATACGAGATGTATCGAGGTATTGGAACCCTTTTTACCATGGGGTATAACAAGAAAACTTCATAGAGTCGTGTTCTTGAATATAAGAACAATTCCACATACCTCCTTTGAAGTTATGAGATTTATATTAGTTAAGGACTGGGCCTACATGGATCATATCTCAGGTGAGGTAGGTAGGCTGGTATGAATTGCGCTAGTTTAGCCGCGCTTAGGTTAAGGGTCAACTGATTTGGAATTAATACCTACTCCGGTCAATATCGATCTTGACATATTCGGATGTATTGGGGAGAGTATACTCAACCCATTCCGGCAGTTAGAAACAGTGCTAAACTACTTCCAAGTTGCCAGCATCCATTTTCCCCTTCTACAGAGTAGTACCGAACCAGGAATTGGCCGATCTTACTGTGACTAGAACGTGGAATGAAACTAAAGTCTAAGCCTCATGGGTTCACTACCTTATATATGTAGTTTTTATCGTTCTATTATTATTCTGTTTACTAGGATGGCTAACCGGGCAGTCCTGCAGGACGAAAATCCCGAGAATAGATAAAAGTACTAAGCCTGCCGCAACCTTCTCGCCTCGTGGTCTTCCCCCGCGGCTACTACTCTTATTCATACATACGACGATCATCGCCGGATAGTTGACGTAGAGTCCACTGAACAAGATGCAGTTAACCTCGCTCGCCGCGTTGGCATTAGCCGCGCCAGCAAGCGCACTAATTCGATTCTCATGCTCTCAGCTTGTGGTTGACCGTATCGACCCGTTAGTGAATCCGGGGATGGCACCCTCGCCGCATCTACACCAGATCATTGGCGGAGTAAGTTATAGCTAGGCGAGCTAAATAAGTAAACATATGGCTAATCAGCGTAGAACTCGCTTAATGTGACTATGGACCCTACTAAAAACATGCCTGGCGAGTCCACTTGCACAACCTGCCAGTTTACCGAGGATACTTCCAATTACTGGACCGCAGTCCTCTTCTTCAGGGCCCGTAACGGCACCTTTAAGCGTGTACCTATCCGACCTAACGTAGGTTTCGACGGCGCCGAGGGTGGTATGACCGTCTACTACATGCAGAACGGCTTAGCCGACTACCAGCAGCGATCCAAGGTCACAGCTTTCAAGCCTGTAAGGCCCTCGCTGTCCGCGAATATCGAGTACTGAACATGTAAAGCTGATTAGTTTAGGGGTTCCGTATGCTTGTCGGCGATTCGATGGCTCGAACTGCCGAAGACGCCAACAAATACAAGCAGGTTACCTACACCTGTCTGCAAGACATGAACACTCGTTTCCCCGAGACCAAGAACCTCCCTAACAAGCTATGCCCGGCAGGCATCATGGCAAACATTCGCTTTCCAACGTGAGTCGGCCATGCGTATGTATACCGAAGTTGTTCGATAATCGTCTAACATGTAGTAGTTGCTGGGATGGCAAGAACCTTGACACCGTGGATCACATGAGCCATATGGCATATCCAGCCAGCGGTACTTTCGACTCGCAAGGGCCCTGTCCAGATAGTCACCCCGTACCTGTTCCACAGCTCATGTACGAAACTATCTGGGATACTCGCCAGTAAGTTTGTCTTCTTATAGCCTATTTGTGTTCCGTCTAGTTAATTATGATTCCCGTGAAGATTTAACGACCCTAACGAATGGCCTGAGGACGGATCCCAGCCCTTTATCTGGAGCATGGGTGACCAGTAAGTAGCACGCATCCCAAGCAATGCTAAGGGAATTTGCTGACACAGGCTTCTAGCACTGGCTATGGTAGTCACGGTGACTATCTCTTCGGCTGGAAAGGGGATGCTCTCCAAAGGACCATGGACACACCCTGTTATGTCACTTGCCCTACATTAACCACGCAGTCAATTGCCAACCAGAACAAGTGCAAGATTGACAGGACTGTTAAGGAGGACATCGATTCTTGTAAGTTATTGAAGCGACCTTGAAATGGTGAGTAATTTAGAGTGCTGAGAATGTGTCTAGGGTTATCCGAAATCCCTGGAAGTCCCGAGATATCGAAGAAATACTAGAAGCGAGGCGTGATAGAATATCTCGAATAACTAGGGTGTGTGTGTTTGTTAGTTCGAAGCCAAGTCAAGGCTAAGCGAAGAATGTTCCTAGCAATGGACAGGCCATGCATCCTTACGATGCGCGAGGAAGCAGAAGCCGCCATGTTTAAATTGACAAATTCTCGTTCTACCTTAGGTACTGTTACGTACTCGCGCCCAAGTGACGATGAGCGATTGATCCCGGGCAATCGAAATTGAGAGATTTATAATATGGGGTCTTTGACTCGCTAGAAATAATAGTCCGATTATATTCCTATTTTAGAGGCATAAGGCGATATTTACAGCCAAGCCCGCGGGGTAAGTTCAGCTGTAGCCTGTCAGCGATTCATACATACATTGAGAAGACCCATGCCTAGGGATGCGAATTTTATTATATCACTAGCGTATAATAACTTATAATAAGATATAATAACGCATAATAGATCTATTATGCGCATAACGGATCAATCACCCCCGTTTATCCGGCGTACTATTATTTAATCGGGAAAGCGTTATTATTAAAACATTGTAAAAGTGCTAAACACTAAACCTATTTTGGAAACATGTTTAATTAAAAGTTATTATAAAAATTATTTATACCTAAAAAGGCTTAGTGTATGATACTTTTGCTTGCGCTAGAGGATATAGAGGGGGGAAATATTAATTACTTAATAATTGCATTATATTATAAGTATTATGCGCATAATAGCTATTATATGTATAATAACGCATAATAGATCTATTATGCGCATAATGGGCATGGGCCATGCCCCATGTAGTTCACCAAAAAGGATGCGACATGATCAATGCACCATCGCGTACGTATTCGTATAGAGACCCCTGAAATTTCCTTGTGATCTTACATTTTCCCTTTCAACATCATACAGCATACAAGGCTCCACACTACAAGTCTGGGCATAATGGTAGGCGAGGGAATGAAGTAAGGGAGTCTCTATTAATATAACGAGGAACCCATATAGAAGTTCAACCGAGAGATCCGCAGATCTTTACTCAGGGCACTTTTACATAATCTATATATTATTATCGACTTCCGCAAATACTATAACTCTAGAACATCGAATAACTGGGTGAATACTTAAGTATCTATATACTATACCCATGGCTGCATTTTAACTCGAGATACACCCACATTTTCAAGCCTCTTTGAGATCGCTTGAGGGCACAACATGATGACGGCTGATGTTGTGTTACCACTTGTGCGGGGCTTTTACGCCCTGCTCGCTGTTATTGTGCTACGCTTCCTGTATAGAGCATACATCGAACGGAGGCGAGTAAGAACTTTGAAGGCTCAAGGAATTGTGAGTTCGATTAACTACTAGAAGGAATAGCAGGATACTGAACTAATTCATTTAAGCCCGTATTACCACATTCGTTACTATTCGGCCATCTTCCCGTCTTCGCAGCCTTTCAAGCGTCTCATCCTCCAGATGTTAATATATATGAATTCCATCCTTGGCTCGCTGCAAATGTCGATAAATACTTCCCTGGTCATAAGAGATTGCCGCCGGTGGTTTATTTGGACCTTTGGCCCGTGTCAAGGTCTCTTGTACTTATATTTGACGCCGTGGCTGCGGCTCAGTGCACGCAGGTCAAGAGTCTCCCCAAGGACCCGGTCCTCCCCGAATACATGCAGCCGCTGACAGGAAAAATGGATATCGTTTCGACAGAAGGAGAGCTATGGAAGAAATGGCGGTCGATGTTCAATCCCGGGTTTAGCCAACGGAATCTTACAGCTCTGCTCCCAGAGCTCATCGAAGAGGCCCAGATATTCGCAAATGGGCTCAAGGATCAAGCTGGTCAAGGGGGGGAGTGGGGATCGGTATTTCAGCTCGAGAAAAGGACGATCAACCTGACTTTCGACATTATTGTGAGAGCATCTGTGTTAGTATACCTAAACATCACAATTCCGGTTATATACTTCGGTACACTGACACGAGATAGAGATCTACGGTTACACGAACAGTCAAACCCATCAAGCAGTCCGTTCAAGACCGCCCTAGTAGACCAACTTCGGTTGATGGGGAAGCTATCAAAATCCGCAAGAGCCTTCCATTCCAGCCAGCTTCTCTGGCATCGGAGATCTATTGAACGGAACAACCGCACTATGCGCGAGTTTCTACTTCCGCAGATAGAAAAAAGGCTACAGTCAGACGTCAACGCCAGCCAAAAGAAAACTATCGTCGACCTCGCTATGAAGTATATCGAAAAGGAAGATGCTGGTACTTTCAGAGGAAAACCTGATGCAGAGTTTGTCGATAGACTCATAGCGAATTTGAAGGCGTTTATGTTTGCTGGCCACGATACGACTTCGTCGACGATCTGTTTTATGGTAAAGATACTGCAGGATAATCCGGACTGCTTAGCGAAGCTCCGGGCCGAGCATGATTCTGTCCTAGGGCCTGATCCGGAGAAGGCTATGGAGGTTTTGATCGCATCGCCCCACCTCTTGTACTCGCTCCCGTACACTTTAGGCGTCATTAAGGAGACTCTAAGGCTGCACCCGCTCGCTGCGACGGTTCGTGATAGCGACAGTATCCCAGGGTTCTCAGTCAGCGTTCCAGGGTCGCCTACAAGGTATCCTATGGAGGGGTTCGGACCTTGGGTGGCGGCACCCGGAGTACAGCGTAATCCCGATTATTGGCCACGACCAGACGAGTGTCTTCCAGAGCGCTGGATGGCTGCCGAGGGCGATCCGCTTTATGTTGCTACGAAAGAAGCTTGGGTGCCGTTTTCTCTAGGACCGAGGAACTGCGTTGGAATGGAGTTGGCGATGGTCGAGTTAAGATTGGTCGCCGTACTGATAGCTCGCGCATTTGACATTGAGGAGGCATGGGAAGAGTGGGACAAGAAGCAGTGAGTACTCCAGCCCAAACAATTACTCACCCATCCCTACTATATCTCCTTAGAAGTAATTGTGTATATGGTTACTAACCCAACTACCCCTAACAGAGGTCCCAATGCTACGCCTACTCACATCGTAAATGGCAGACGCCTCTACGGCGTTGGGAATGGACCAGTTCACCCGAAGGATGGTATGCCAGTACATGTGAGGCTACGAAATCATAAGCTATCCATCTGAGGGTAATAGACTAGCTTTTTCATGATGTATAAATATTACGATCAGTTCCTAGATTTGAGGATCTGATTGTCATTATTAGTGTACCTAAATTCAGTCATACCTGTTATAAATTAGAATGTTCGCTGAAATCCGTGGTCTCTGCCGAAGCTACTTGTAGCTGATTCCGAGTACGCACTGGAAGCCCCCTTTTTAAATTAACACTAGAGATTCACTAACGTCTCGACCAGCCAGCAACTGGCTAGTACTAGTGATATCAATCATACCTTAGCAGATAGACGGCCTTAATAGAAGATCATTGGCCTAGAATTGGATTGTACCTGTAGTGTCATCAGTAAAGAAGTAAATCACGCAATGGAGGATATCTGGGACTACACTAATGAGTAGCAAAGCGGAATTTGAAGATCGGCCAATGTAAAGGAGTGGACATGGGGAAGCTCAATCTGACCTCTTGGTGATCCGTCTTTTTGACCCCCACGCCGTCCTAGATATTGGATGCTTAGCGGGGCTTGAAGAATCGCTAGATCAATATGTTTATTAATGTTGGTTCGGTTTAGCCCTAGGTTATTACTAAAGTTGTAATTGATGGATTCCAATGTTTGTTCTGTGTGCGGTGTAGAAGATAAATCCTTCAATAAAGTGTACTATAGAAGATGTTGATCTGCTAAAGATTCGAGCTGGCATTAGATTCCATGCCGTGCGGCATCCTCCTGGATTTTTCTATGGCCCATCTTACCTCACACTTACAGTTGTGGTAACTGATAACTAGAGGATTTGCGGATGATGCTAACTAGCGTAATTGATACTATAGTAAATCGCGATCCTGTCCAAGTCCTACATGTGACGTATATATTTGGGATAGATACGAAGCTCTAACATGTGCCACGACTCATACAAGCCGCCTCTCGGTAGTATTAAAGTCAAACTCTTTAATAGTTCTAAATACCAGCATCTTAGGCTTAAAAGATGGGTTAGTTACCTTCATTAAGCTATTAGTTCATGCAGGTACATTTCTTTATCAGGACCTAGCTAAAAATGGAATATGCGAACACGATAAGTGACCGAGTCTTCGAGGATTGCGATTGTCGTAAGCGGCTGACGTGACCATCCTTACAGCTGTATGACGTTAAGGCCGCAGTGTAACCTCAGCTGTAGATCTCGCGCACATGTGCAGATGTTGCTGTGTGTGTTGGTACACAGCTTCCCCCATTTTGGATCTCATCGTCTAGTGTTCTGGTGTAAGCTTGTGAATGTTTCGCGACGAATTTCCAAATCTAGCCCATGTTTAAGAGGTAAACATGTTTAAGTAATACCGCTAGTTATTAAGAATCCTCCTAAATTAGGGCATATGCCAAGCATTTAATACAGGTACAGAAAAGCTTATTTTTTTCAACTGCCTGCATAGACGTACATAGTACATTATGTACATACACATGTAAGTACCTCGCACCCCGAACCCCAACCTCCAACCTTTTTCGAGCGTTCTAGAAGCGTGATACATTCAAGTATTTTCAGGATTTGGGTATCAACTACTACATACCTATGTACACTACACACATGTACCATCTCATCTTCCTTGGTCCTTTTTCTTGTTTTACTGCCTTGGTGGCGGCATCGGCCCCATTGAAGTGTTCCACGATCGGCAGATAGCTATTCTAATACGTATAGTATTGTACAAAGTACGCAGTACCTACGCAGGATTAATGTTGAGTCTAAAAGCTTTAAATAGCACCTCACATACCACGTCGTCATGTGAAGTCATGTACACAGTGTTGATATTTCATTAGCTTCGAAATACCTATGGTCTACGCTAGACACGCACCTAACGTTTACAGTCTACATATTGGACATATAAAAACGTTAGATGTACCACTGTATCTCCGTTTCAGGTAGTTTAGATACTAAAAGAGTAGCGTAAAGTCCACTTATATCACTATAATATAGGTACGTACCATTAACACTAAAACTAATCCAGGGGTACCAAAACCTGCTTCATCTCAATCTATCTGTATACACTACGTAAGGCATTTATTGCTATCAAAGAAAAGGTGACGCCAAATTGTCGAGATATTGCGTAAAATATTTTCTTGTTCCACTGCTCTAACCTGCATACGTAGCCGTCCCCGTTTATGTGGCTGGAACAGCGTTGGATCTGGGTCGCCTAATCCTGGTGAACCAAACCACAATATCAAGGGGCTCTGCAAAATCCTCCACACACCATAGGAATGGGCATATCTATCAAAAGTCGCCTGAAATGACCTAACTATCCAATACAGCAACCCACAGGACTCAAACAAGCCTTGAGAAGTGTTGCTTCTACGCTAAGAGCTGATATCATATTGGTGCGAGGTAAAGGTGCAAATATCAGATCTTTGGTGATTCCTACGTGTTGGAAAATATTTCGGGATTTCTATCTCGACAACTTAGAAGCCATAATACAAGCAACCCAAAATTTTATTCGCTCCGACTGGCTAGTTAGAGTAACCTGACTCGTCGTCAACTGCGACTAAAAACGGATTATGATGGGTACCAACGTCAATCATAGTGGCTGGGGTGGTCAAATGCCGCGTTCCCGTTGTACCTTGACCCACGATACTACTTACAATAGTCCGGCGTGTCCATATTCGAAGTGATCAACATAACCATGAAGTTAGCGTAGAAGGCTATGTATGATCGTCGAGGCAAGGTTAAGAAAGAAGTAATGGTATTGTGGCAGTAGTTATCTACTACACTAGCGTTCCTAAGGACTCGATGAGCATATAAGGGAGTTAGCTCGACCTCGATTTCAGTCCAGAATTATTTCCATCAGTATTGATTCGAATCCAACAACAACTACATACTGTTGTAGCCTGCTGCAACTCTCGCTCGTTTGTCAAATAAGCCATACTCGGGAAACGGTATACCTATTATTCATCCATATTACAAAACAAGTCAGACATTAACGCATCGACTATGCGGTCATTCGTTACTCTCTTAGCAGCATTAGCCTCGTTGCAGGGCGGCTCAGCAGCTCCGTTCGGCAACCAGCAACAACCTCCCACTACCATATCTCACGGCGGATTTCCGCATCCGACCGGTCGTTTCCCCCACCCAACCGGCTTCCCGCATCCTACTGGCCATCACCGTGATGGTCATGCTCACCCCACTGGCAAATTCCCTTGGCAGCCTGGCGCACCGCATCCCACCCCTCGCGTGAAGAGAGAGAATGAAGGGCAAGAAGGTGACCATAAGGAGCCATGGGGTTTTCCTCACCCAACTGGCCACCATCATCACCACCCGAGCGGCGGTTTCCCTCACCCAACCGGACATCCTAAAAGCAATATTTTTTTGAGACGGGATACGGACCATGTACGCCCTCACCCGGATGGCTTTGCCCATCCTAGCGGTCACCACCCGCACCCAACCGGTGGGTTCCCACAACCTACTGGTGGACCTGGTCATCACCACCATCCCCCAGGTGATAACCAGGACCACGGTCACGGAAACTGGCAGGATAATCATGAGAAGCGAGGCGAGGGGTTCCGCAGACCCGCTAGCATTTCATCGCCAAGTGGTATTACCAGCCATCTCCACCCCCAACCTACTGCCGGTGCCCAACCCGGGCACCACGTGCAGCAACCCGACGGGGAACCGAAGCGCGAGCGCCAGATACTACAGGAGATCCCGCGCGTGGTCCAGGATGCCAACTAAGAGACATAACGGATGAAGGTACCGAAGTTATTACAGCATAATGAATCCGACCGACTGTACGGTACTGTAAGGCTAGTAAGATTATGATTAGATGAAGTAATGGAAGGACTTAGAACGCTTGGATCTTTATAGACTGCTTGGCGGAATAGACTAGCTGGATGCTGGATACTGGGCACCTACGAATGGATCACGCAGGGGTAAGATGTCACCTTTTTAGATAAAGGTGACTCTTCACATTGAAATTTTGCAAATCCGTATAAAATTCGTCTTCATGCTACCTCAACTTTATGTGAACTTGTCCTGTGATATACCGGGTGTGAATTTCAGTACTAAAGGATAGTGCTCATGAGATCACCTATCTTATAATGAAGGACTATGCGAGTATTACCAAGCCCACTGTAATATTAATAGACTCTCGGATACGACCTTTAAGTTTATCCATGTCGATCTAGTTAATTGGGTAAACCTATCGTAGCATTAGCTTAGAAGCAGAGAAGCACATTTCGTATTATATAATCCACTTAATATCTCGCAAATAGGTAGCTTGAATATGTTGTTAACTCTAACAATGAGAGAGAATATTATTATCCTAGAAAAAACCGTAAAACACATATCTGTATTAAAGTTAATAATACGTATAGATTTATTCCAACCCTAAGTAAATAATAACTTAAAAGGACCACAGGAGTATATTCCACGAAATAATTTATAGTATGTGGTATTGTTAAATATAATATTAGAGGACTCGTGTTAGCCTTTAATGAGAGATCAATTTATGATGATTCAAGTTTCGTGTGTACCTAGTTGAAAAAAGCGACTTATAAGTTTCAACTGTTGACACTAAATCTATTTTCCTTTAGATTGAAACAAGCAGTCTTAAGTATTGATATAGTTCAATTATAGCTGACTATTAAATAAGCCATTAGTAAAATATATTTGACATGTTAAAGTCAAAGCCATTAAGAAACTTGATAAAGTATGAGGATATTATGAACAAGTCAAAATGAAATTGAAATAAAACACTACCCATTGTCATAACTTTAGACTAAGTATTAGCTTAAATGAAACTATATTGAGCTATTGTAAACTGCACTTCAATGTCTGTTTCGTTGAGTTGCCATGTCATATAATTGCATATTCTCATAAAGCTAACGCTAAGGTATGACTCTCATGGCACGATAGCCGCGTAAAATATAAAGAGCATCTAGTAACGTCAACGTTTTATATTGGTTCAAACAATCTCTTTGGGCTTTAACAAAGCCTTACCAAAGCCTTACCCCTAAGCTTCTTTCTGCGACTAGCTATAAATATACACCTACCAACCAAACAAAGAAGGCAACCTTTAATTGAAGTTTTCACTTGATTTCTGAAACGACGTGGTAGTAAACCATTCGATACAATTTTACTAATTCCATTCAAAAATGACAAAGCGGATAGCTCGGTAGGTCACCTGGTGTACCCCCCACGCCGCACGAATGTAAACAACTAAGAAGTAAGACAAATACCTCATTTGAGTCATGCTTCATAAGGAAAGTGTACTTTAAAGATTAACTGTTCAATAGAATTGAATTGAATTCAAAACATTTGGTAGTCTTTGCTAAAGAATATAAATCTAAGAATTGAATAATGCGGTGTAGTTTGGTTATTTATTAAAGACGCCCCTTGCCTGATATTTGTAAATTATCTAAGGTAGAATACGATTTTGGTGTTGGACGGAAGCGCCACGATAGTTCTCGGTGAAGGGCCAAGAGCTGAATGTGTAATGTGTGCATTCCAATCAATTCGACTTAGTAATATCGGAATTACCGTAGTACCTTACCCAAGCCCAAATTGATTATAATAATACGTCCCTTCTCGTCCCTCGTCATCGATTCCCCAGGCTTCTACTACAATTCGCATAACAAATCAACGACGACTACATTAGGTACAAACGAGTGCGATCCCGGCCTAAACCCAGTAAATTTCAACCCCAGAACCCTATAACCCCTACAACATTAAACTTGTGCACAATACGGAATACAGTAAGCATCAACTGACCACACAGTACAGATACGGTACGGTCAAAACAGTTAACGACGCTAAGTAGTACCTACCCTTTACCGTTTGTAAATTCGCCACGTGAACGTACCAAAGTGGATACCGCCAGTTCTTTGATTTGCGGCGTTTCAACAAACTCTGTTAGTTCTTCTGTTAGAAAGAAGCCCTGCGACATTTTCCCTTTGCGTTTTTGACCTTTTCATCAACATAAGCTACGAAACTCTCGCAATCCGTTTTGTCAACTCGCCGTTCTCTTTTCGTTCATTTTTCTTGCGATTCGATTTATTTTAAGTTTTTGTTTTTTTTTCTTCCTCTACCTCTTATTGAGATACGATGCGCGGCAGCGCCGTCACTTCGGCAGCTTTGACCGCGTTCAAACAACCCCTATCTAGATTTGGCCGTGCTCATTTATCCACTGCATCCTCCCACTACAGCGCCGGAGCTCGCTTCGGCGGTAGCATTCGCAAAGCTAGCACCGTTCCGCACAGCGTCAGCTCTTTCGGCTCTCAGCAATTCGAGCCCGGCGTCATTCTGAAGGGATACTCTGGTCGCGAGTATACCATCGAAAATGTTCTGCAGGACAGACAAGACCGCCTGGTCTATCTCGCCAGGTAAGCTAAGCTAAGCTCTACTTGAGGGTCTACCTCAGCAGAAAATTCATATTTTCTTTATCTTTTACCCCATTCGACGCTTGCGTTTGTGGGTCGGACTTGAACCAACTAACACGTCTCCAGGGCAAATGAGAAGATGTTCGTTCTGAAAAGTCTATTTGAGAACGAATACAATTATGCACTTCCTCTGCAGTTGAGATTTAATCACTCGCCTTACTTGCGGGCGCTGCGGGACACCGTCCCCGAGCAGAAGATGTTTGTCAATGAATACATGACAGACCATCTCCTCAACTTCGCCTTTAAGGATCTCTCCCTGGCTGCGCAAAAGCGCGTCCTTCGAGATAGTCTACGAGGCCTTGCTACCTTGCACGACCAGAACATCGCGCATTTAGGTATGTATCCCCGCCGGACTTAAGCTTCGGATTTTAATCTAATGTGGCGTCTCAGACATCAAAGCAAATAACATCATGGTCGACTACCGCGATACCAGTGAAGGAATCACCGTAGATCGCGTGCAGTTATCGGACCTAGAAGATTCGACTCACATCCCACCTGGACAGGCTCTGCGTGGGCTTAAAGTTGGCAATCAGTTTTGGCGCAGTCCAGAGGCGCACGTACAGGGCGCGGTCGGAAAGCCTTCGGACATCTTCTCCTTGGCGCTAGTGGTGAGCTTGACCGCCTTTGCTTATGTGTCACGGCTACTAATGCTAGTACCTATAGTTCATATTCATGCGTCTCAAAATGGTTATCTTCCGGATCGACAGCGCGCCAAATGTCGATCTTACCAACGCCATCCTCGAGCGGCAAATATCCACTTTTGCCGAGTGGAATGATTACGAGTCTTTCATCGACTACCTTGGCCGAAGACATCCCTGGGTCGGCGAGCTCTCTCGCTTGCAAGACTCTTTCGGTTCTAAGAATCCCCGAAGACCATTTTCGCTCTGGAAAAGCGATTCACTTGACCCAGACTTCAAGGATTTGATTAAGAAGATGACCAACTTTGATCCCCGGAGGAGAATCACGGCGCGGGAAGCCCTCGGTCATGTCTGGTTTGACGATGTTGAGGAACTATAGTTGATACCTTGGGTTTAGCGATTATCAGGTTTACGGGAAACAGTACCGCACACGGTTTTGATTTCAAGCTTTGATTTCACGGCACGGGAACAGGAAACGGAACCGGATATAGACTGAAAAACGGACTTTGAGGGATAGAGATATAGACTACAAACATAGAAAGCAATAATGTTAATGGCGCCGCACGCCCGCACCGACTCAGCCTCGTTTGAGTTCTAATCATTAATACCTAATATACTAGGGTAAGTCACTTGCATATAGACTAGAGACTTGAATGAAAGAGTGGCAAGAATACGCATCACTAAACTAGTCATATGAGCAGTGCTGTTTTGGTGATCAGGTGAATTGATAGTCAGCATTGGGTTTATCACTTTGGACACTAGTCTTTCCGATCAGTCTTATCAAGCGCATAGCAAGTCAGCAGGTGGTTACATAGGTCAGGGGATCGTGGAACACATCGACTTTCAATGGAATCTTTGCATAGCTCTAAAGATTGCCAGTTCGTAATGAGATGTATCAGCTCGACATGTTGTTACCTTGCAGATTCAGATAGGAGTCCAAATGGCTTAGATGAAACTTATAACCTCCTTCGCGTATCAGTAAGTTAGAGACCTGGAGTAATTGTAACTGTGTTACTGACGTATTCGTATAGACCAAGGATTAATGAGACAATATGTAGCTGCGTTTAGACAGCCAATAATCTCCAAGCGCAAGCTTAATAGGTCCCCCTAAAGATTGGCCTTACGAAATGCTATTTTCGACAGAGGGCTTGTGTAGCTAACGCATAACAGCCCCTATTTCATGGTGCTATAGATGCAACAGGGCGTGGTGTTACTCGACCTTTCTCGGCGAGTACAAGAATGAGACCTACATATCTATACTCTGTGGATGATTGAGATGAGGTAAATATCAGAGGTTGTTTTCATGGTTTCGAGAGTTAATATAACTGCTGTACGAGACGAGAGTCTGAGACATGTCAGCGATAGTCCTAGAATGAGTTATTTCTTTCGAATCTGCATGCAAATAATATCATTGTCCGCCGTCTACGGTTCTAAGTAAGATCTAGGCCTTTGCGACACCTAAGCCTCCAGTAATTAGCTTCTCATATTGCGTAAAGACGGAGTATATAAGTTGAAGTAGCGAGAGTGCCATTCTTCACCTTTCCGAAGTCATCACCATCGCTACACCACAATAACAGAAGCCGAATTTATTCTGAAACATTCAGCTTTCTCTTTCCACTATTCTAAACCTACAATAGCCAAATTAGCTGCAAATATGAAGCTCTTTCAACCTGTCGTTATTCTTCTCTCCATTGCTGCCGGTAATGCCGTCGCTCATCCTGCAGGGGACGCACCAGAGGTCGAACTTAGTACCATCACAAGTGGCGAATACACCTTCTTCGGAGTGGGCGAAACTGTGAGTGTATTTCCTTAATTAGGTAATTAGTCCCTAAGACCATTGGCCATTGTATATTACCAACGCATAAACACATCACTGCTATTACTGCAACATAGACTAAGAAATATTTCCGTAGTCCGAGTTTGAAAAACGCTGCAGTGGGTACTTAACGCAACATGCCGATTGCACACCTGGACAGTGCCAATGTTTGGGTAAGAATGGGTGCTATGGTTGTAATGGTGGACGGATACAATGCCAGCCTGGCCCTGGTTCGGGAGTATGCTGGACTGCTTAGGCTGCTTGAATTCACTGGTAGTACCGAGTCTCAGTTCGAATATCTTTGAAAGGGGTTTATAACATCCATTCTCTAAGCTGGGATATCGTATTCAAGACGATAGGGATAGGTTCATGAAGAAGAAACTTCTAGATATATAACCAACTACTTGTCATTCGTTTTGAATGGTATTTGGTTGACGATACACTCTTTCTATATTACACATCATGCATCAACTAAACAGCGTTTTCTATGATTTCATCGTAACTTGAATAAGCCTAAGATGGCTAGGCTTATATTACTACCTTAAATAAAGCATAGACTGTGAAGTATGGTAATTGTATAGCGAAGCTGCAACCAAACGATTAAGATTAAAACTCGAGCAATAGTTTTGAGGCTTTAAGTATTTGACTAGTTAGTTAACCTATGTTGTTTAACTTCATAGCGAATCAATGAAACTGCAAAGAAGGATATCTTTATGGTTTTCGTCTTGGAACATTAAGGCATAGTAGAACTACACCTAATAACCAAATTATTCAGAGAATATATGTTAGATGCTAGGTTAGTTAGTTGCTAATGAACTTGGATACGAATCCATCTAAGATCTTCACCTCGCTCGATGTAACCTTTCTTATCGCCAGATCCACCAACGTGCTATTGGTCGTTGCCTTTAACCTAGCTCGGAGCTTTTATGCGTAAATTGCTTGAAAAGGTGATGATTTCCAGTCCAGTCGATCATAAACATTTTTCAATTTTGCGGTAATGTTTTAGTAATGGTCTCCTCCCCAGCTGTTCATCATGCTAGGCCTTATATACTTGGCTTTGCTGTCGGCCTTCGTCTTCTCAGCTGTTGTAGCCGCACAGGAGACGGGCTTGGACACGTGCACTGATGTCCACATCTTTCTGTCTCGAGGGAACAATGAGCCGTATCCCGGCCGTCAGGGAAAGCTCGTGCAGGCTATTTGCTCGGGGCTCGAGAGCTGCGACTACGAGGACATTGCGTTCAATAATGCCTTGGCAGTTGAATACTGCAGCGCCGTGGAGGCGGGTCGCAAATCTGGCATTGCCCAGATAACCGACTACAACAAGCGATGTCCCGATGCGAAGCTCGTTGTCAGCGGCTACTCTCAGGGCGCACATGTTTTGGGCGACATCCTTGGTGGTGGTGGCGGTGTTTTCTTTCAGGGCTGCACGACGCCTACAGTTCCAGGCTTAGACCCAAATTCAGCCCCTGGTAATACGAGTAAGTTTGGATCCCCTGCCCGTACTATGTAGTATACGGCGCAGCGTCGAAAAGAGTACCTTTTCTAACCAGATGATCTGGCATATAGTTGTAGCTGCCCTCCTTTTTGGTGATACCCGTCATACTGCCAACCAGCCGTATAATACACTAGGAGGCGCGCCTATCAATGGTTTATTCCCTCGAAGTGGACAGCAACTTGAGGGTATCCACAACTTTGCGGGTGTGCTCCGAGACTGGTGTCAGGAGGATGATCCAATTTGCGCAGAGGGCGATGGTAAACGAACATACAATGTCCAACATCATTTGAACTACTTTGATGTCTACTCTGGCGCAGCGGCGGAATGGGTTAAATCGATGCTGGGCGAGACCACCACACCGACATCTGGGTCTACGACTGTGTCGAGTAACACTGCTACATCAACCACAAGTAGCACAAGTACGGTTGTTGAGGAGACAAGTTCTGGGGTAACAGCCACCGAAACCACAGCATCAGAAACACAGAGTGCATCTATTACATCGGTATCTATGAGTTTAAGCTCTCCATCTTTGACTAGAACTTCGACGCCCCTTCCAGAAGGTACAGATTCAAGCACCGCTGCTACGCCAACAGCGTCATCTACAGCCCAACAAGGAAGCGTTCAAGGTGTTCGGTGCTTCAAAGGTTATATCGGCTTATCCATATTGTACTCGTTTCTTTTTGCAATCGCTTAGTCGTCTAACCTGAATATAAAATTTGATGTTCTATCGACGGAATGGGTAGAAAAGCTATACGTTACGGTCAATAATGTTAGCATAGGGGGAAACTTTGAACCATCTGGTCTTGACATACTGGTTATGAAATCGATTACTCCTTTTCGCTAAAGAGCTAGTCATCCACCTAGTGATGCTGATCTCTAACTGTATAGTGGGAGGTCCCATTCTTAGTAGCAGGCATCATCGCAGTCGTCGCTCTTCCGGCTTCGGCGCTGTGTATCCCTATATTTAGCTCAAGGTGATCTAAAGCTTTGCTGCAAGCTTCGTGGGCATCCGTATTGTGCTGTTTTGGGATATAACCATAGCGGACAAACCCAAGCCTCTTGACGCGTTCCTCTAGGCTGTAGACAATCCTAAACAGGTCCAAATGCAAGATTTCCTGTCCTGCATGGTTTTTCCACCCGTTTTTATGCCATGTGGAAATCAAGTCCGTCATGCATAAAACAATATATTTAGAGTCCGACTGAATCGATACAACTATTGGACAAGTTAGTCGCAACGATTCGCGTCTTTCCAGGGCTTTCTGGAACGCCAGTATAATGGAAAGTATTTCGACTCTTTGACTAGTTAACTCCTGATTTCTTATGTTCTGTTGAAAACTATCGCGGATGCCTCCTTCTTGAGCCATCAGACAGGCAACAGTGACTCCAAGACTACCAAATTGAGGACGATTTCTGCAGAGCCCGCTGGTACGAAAATGCATAAAGTAAACCATCGTGGTGGCGCTGAGAGGTATCTAATGCAAATACGATTAAGTAAATGGTTCTTGCCTAACCGTTAGCCTGATAACCTCAATATGTCAACCGTATAGCAGCAGTTAAATACCCTAATGCTAGGAATGCCGAAGTGAAATAGATGATAGAGCCAAGCGAGCGACAGAGCCAAGTGATAGCTTGATATTGGCGAGATTGTGAGAGAGCTACCCAGTAGCCAGGGGGGAGTATGAAGATAATTTATAAGAGAGGACATCTTGGGTCGGTAGTTGGGAGGACTTGCTTGTTTAATATATAAAAATAAGTTAGAAGATAACTTAAATCCCGGAAGGCACTGAGTAGCTATAAAGTTTGATAATTGTTCAATGTGCATTGTCATGAGGTGAAGTAAGAAGCACCGAAACAACTTTATTGTTCGGCGAGGAACTTTGAATTAGCTACGGGAACCTACGGCTATACATGGTGACAATGTCCTTTGCTCTAGATGTCTCATCTAGGATACCAAAGCCGCCGATATATAGTTTATAGGTACTTGTTATAGAGACTCGAAGTATCGCAGTGTTGGATTTCGGGGCTGCAAAACTGTAATTCTTCATGACAAAAGGCTTTGACACTTTGTGGATCGAAGCGCTGTTTCTCCTTCCCTAAGCTCGGCTCTAGTAAGATAATGTGCTGAATACTAAGATAAATGTGAAAGTTTATACCGGAGATGAGTTTAACACCTTGCTACATTATGACTTATATCATAAACTGCCTCTCTATGAATAAACTTGGAGAACACATTAATAATTAAGATATCAAGTTTGATTTATCAGTTCACCTGATGTGAAGTTCGTTCTGTTTATCTTGATATAAAGTCGTACCTAATATACTTAATTGGACTTATACGACTACGCGCTTGTAAAGTGAAGCTACCTGATACATTAGGTAGGTATGTGCGAATCGCACGGAGTATTATTCAAGTTACAGCTTTGCACTAGGTACCTAGGTAGGTACAACGAATCGCGTCACATTCCAATGGTAGCACGAGCTTCGGCGTATATTTGGACCCCTCCACTATCGATAACCTCCATATTCTTGGTGCCCCACCAAAAACGATGCTTTGATAAGATGAATCCGATATCTCTCTCACCTGAATCTTTGCCGTTTATTGTTTACCTCATCTCATCTCGTCTCCTATATCGGCGAAGTTCATTACATCCCGTCTCGTAGAAAATCATCAATCGAAAACCAATTAAGACTCAAGCTTGAAGTCCAATTGGCTTTCCATACGCGAGACGTGGCATGTTCTGAGCGATATACGAGAACTTGATAGGTATTGAATTGTGCGCGGGGCAGGGATGGGAGACGCAGCTCAGGATATCGACGCCAAAGGCGATGCTCTTGACACGGCAAAGGACTTGTTTGCAGGAGCTGCCGGAGGAGTTGCTCAGGTTTTAATAGGTAGGTTACCTCTCTTTCCAACTTCATCTTATCATAGCGCTATCTGTCACAATGCTTGGTTGTGGTAAGGTTAAGCCATAGGTGATAAAAATAGATGGATGGGATGTTAGCTATCACGGAAAGGACGTTAAGCTTTGAAAAGTCAAAATGCTCATAACCACGAAAGAGATGGAGACAATAACCCTAATTCATATATATATATATATTAACTTAAAACCCCGTCCTCATCGCTAACCCTCCACAGGCCAACCCTTCGACATAGTCAAAGTCCGGCTCCAAACCAGCACAGCATACAAATCCGCCCTCGACGCCGCAACCTCCATCTACGCCAAAGAGGGCCCCCTCGCATTCTACAAGGGCACACTAACCCCCCTCCTTGGTATCGGAGCCTGCGTATCCATCCAATTCGGCGCCTTCGGGTACGCGCGACGCTACTTCGAGGCCCAGAATGCCTCCTCCTCATCTTCTTCTTCCAAGGACCTGTCCTTCGGCCAGTACTTCGCAGCCGGCGCCTTCGCCGGCGTCGCCAACTCCGTGATCTCGGGGCCCATCGAGCACGTGCGTATCCGGCTGCAGACGCAACCCCACGGCGCGGCGCGCCTGTACTCGGGCCCTCTCGACTGCGTGCGCCAGCTGTCTTCGCGCGGCGGCGGGCTGCGCGGCTTGTACCGCGGCGAGGCGGTGACGATTTGGCGCGAGGCCGCTGCTTACGGCACGTGGTTTCTGACTTTCGAGTACTTGATGATGGCCGACGCGGCGCGGAACCGCGTTGCGCGAGCCGACATCCCCAGCTACAAGGTTGCCCTGTACGGTGGTCTGGCCGGTGAAGCCCTCTGGCTTGCTAGCTACCCTTTTGATGTCGTCAAGAGCAAGATGCAGACCGATGGTTTTGGTAGCGAGATGAAGTATAAGACGATGCGGGACTGCTTTTCGCAGACCTGGAGGACCGAGGGCGCACGGGGCTTTTGGAAGGGCATTGGTCCTACGCTACTGAGGGCCATGCCAGTCAGCGCGGGTACGTTCGCCGTGGTGGAGGCGACGATGCGTGCTCTCAGTTAAAAAACCAAAATTAAGTACCTAAGGTAATTAGGGGTAAGGAGGCTGAGAAAATCTGGGCTTAGGTCATATGATAGGGCGTTGGGTTTCAACCAAAGATGCGTGAGATAGGGGGGTTTATCACGATAGATCTCATTTGGGAGCAATTCAACACTTCGCACTTGGACCGGTATTAGGGCGTAATCTGAACTAGATTTGGAGGCCTATAGAAGGCAGACAAAATTTTATCTATTCGCTAGTCTCGACACGCCTCTGTAGAATCTTCCTAGCATTTGCCGGGGTGAGGGATTCTATATCCAATTCAGCCAACAGTTTCTTGGCTTCGGCATTATCTGTGAATGCACGGTCGCTCGCTTGTTGGAGAGATATGGTCCCGTCTGTGGCTTCTAGTGGCAGGCTCAATAGCCTCGTGCCGTCTTGTAGAGTACTAAGCGCGATCGAACCATCCGGGATGTGTCGGTCTATCAGAGAAGCGATAGCCTCCAGATCCCTTGCAAACTGGGCGGCACTGACGCTTGTAAAACTCTGCGCCATAAGCACTGTCGTCCATATTGTATCCTGTAGTTTCTCCAACGCCTCCCGCCATACCCGGCGATAAACGGCGGCGCTCAATACAGAAGTAAGGAAGATAAGATTTCGTTTGAGTATCTAGAGTAATGTCAGCCGCGATTTTGGATATCCATGATTCAAGAGTAAAATTTTACCTTTAAAGGCTCATCTAATTCTGGAGTTACAGAAAGCTGGGAAGTGTCCACTGGAAATATTTAGCATGCCGACTCGCGGTGAGTTTCGAATAATAGAGCTTACAGTGGGTATCATCACTGATTGTAGTCCAATGAGCCTTGGCGAAGTACGGGCGGAATGCTTTCTGGTGGGAGTCAATCAATGCTGCGACTAGGTATTCTTCGGCGGCCTTCCGACGGCGAGCGTACGCCGCGATAGTTTCATCGAATAAAATGCCACTGTCACCGTCGGAGCTAATATCTGCTGAGGTCTTATCTTTCACATTTTCATAACTCATTCCGGTGGCAATATTACCATCGCCATTAGTCTGTTTAGCCCTCATTTGGAGCTGTTCCCACAAGGATACGAAAAACTATCCAAAATTAGCAAGGGGCTCAATATGTGCACCTAGAAAATTAAAACTTACCTCCTCATTACTCCAATCCTTCAAAGTAGCAATGATGTGGTCAGAACTGCCCAAGACCTTGCAGAGAGTCTCAAATGCCCCGGTGCCTTCCAATGCGGCGGCTTGTTCCTTGGTTACGCCGTGTAGGGTACGGCCCAGAGTGGAGGTAATTGTATAGTATGCGTCTAATGAATCCCTGAAGCGGTCGTGATAGTCATCTAGAATTTCAAGCTGAATATCGATGAGGAATCGGAGTTTGTGGGAAAACCTGCGGACTCGCTCGTATTGAGATGTGACAGACTTTAACAAGTCCGTCACTCTCACTGCACCAAAGGTTGGCTTCATCTTACCAGCACCGCTGTAATCATAATCAATGTTTCGAGCATCGGGGGAGTTCATAATGACGTGGTAACGCTCCAGAGCGAAATCCTTCTCTGCTTTGAACCAATCGTCAAAGTGCTGTTCGAGGACTTCCGACGTCAAACCGGCCCAGCCCTGATCTGGATCACCGCCGTCATAGTTGAACCTTGATCGTATCTCATCGTCCAGGTCCATCAGCTGTACCATAAGACTACTTAAAAATTGTGGGTTCTTGAGGCCGTGTTGAACCAGAGTATCTATCTTCTCTCTCATCACTGGGAGTAGCACTGTGATAAGGGCACAGGCGGGATCCATGTAGACTGATAGGCTACGCACTTTAGTATCTTGGAATCGGGACGCCAGAACGTAGCCGACATTGTCTCGGAAGAAGCCCTCCCATTTATCGATTAGCGCTAGGAACTGAGGTACGCAGAAAGTTCCAAATGACTGGGGGCCACTCGTCGCGTTGTTACCCATGAACTGGAATTGGAACCATAAGATGAAAGGCTTTGCCATCACTTCGAAGGGCAGTAGTGAAACTACTTTATTCGAGTAGACTACCTCAGGCGCCTGTAAATCGATGAGCTTCTCGAAGCACTGTAGCCATTCGGCGTCCATCTCGGCACCGGTATCAATTCCTTGGGGCCAATTGCGCTCCTTGAGAACATTTTCTAGCTCCTTAGACATAGTATTCTTCATCTCTTCCCATAGATTCTCTGTGGTTCCCTCGACATGGCTCACGAGATGCGTGGCGGCTTGATCTGCTGCTCCCTGTAGTTCCCTTAACCGCATGCTTAGCTTCTTGAGTCTCGAGTAGGATTGCAATGCGGCTTTAGGACTCTGCGGAAGATGAGACCGTGCCTCAAGCCTTAGGTTCTCAACATCGTGTAGTAGCGAAACGTATTGGTGGGCGAGCTCGACCTTGCGTAGCTGCTTCATAGGTTGCTCAAGGCGTCGGATGGCTTCATCGGGTGCGCTAGACTCGGCAACTATCTTTAAGCGGGCATCGATGCTCTCCTGGAGCGCGTTAAACTCGTTTATTGATCGGGCGACTCCCCCTTGGTGGTCCTGGGATGCACGACGAGCATCTTCAAGCTCCCTGGTCGCATCGTCGAGTTGAGTCTGGAGTTGGCTGCGTTGGACTTCTACGCTTGCTAGTAGGTTGTCGAGGTTTTCGAAGTCGGTGCTGGATTGAAGCTTGTCGTCAAGGTAGTCCTCCAATCTGATATCAGGTATCTGGGAATAGGAAGGTGTTGGCGCATTTATAGCCATGATTATTGTTAGGATTTAACATTTAGTCTTGACCAAGTCGCAAAAGCCCGAAGCTGTCAATGTGTTAAAGTGTCGTATGCATTTAATAGTATTTTGATTAGAGGATATTCGACTATCCATAAGAGGTACCTATTTGAATTTACCCACTTTATTACACACAACCAATCACTTAAAAAAGCAAATCCATAGTGATAAAAATACTAGACGTAATAAATAACTTTACAAATAACGTTATTTAATAATTAAACCGAGGGCCCCTCTTGTGGGGACCACAAAAGCCCGACTTTTAGCAAAGCTCATGCTTATGTCATCCCTTATGTCATCCCCCATCCCCTTATATCGTTTTTCCGAAATTTAGCCGCTCATCCCCACAGGGTCACGTGCCACCACGCCAGACCGCGCTCGGGGGCGCTCGGGGGGGAGGCGCTTGGCGCGCTGACGCGCGCCTCGCGCCCCCCCCCCCCCCTCGCGCCTCCCCTCGCGCGGCCCGGCGGTGGCACGATCCTCTGGCTATCCATTGTATTGTCGTCTATTTTTTGTTAAAATAAGAAAAAAAGGAACGTGTGGGATTCGAACCCGGCTTCCTGTAAACCTAAGTCATGTGGTGTTGTTCCGAAAGGGTTTAGTTTTGCACTTAAGAACATGTGACCTGTATATGGCCTTATATTGGCATATGGTTACAAAAATTTAACCAATCACATTAAATAAGTACTTAATGTGATTGGTTAAATTTTTAGCCTAAACCTGGTGCACAGGCCACTTTTTCCCTTAATCCTTTTATCTTTTTTATCAAAAGCTTTATCTTTTTATCGGTTTATTAAAAGTTTTATCTTTTATTAATTTTTTATTAAAAATACGTATTATTTAAAATTTCCAAATTAAAATTATTAACTTAACATTAATCATGCAGTTAAAACTTTAGCCCTATATTTTAATTTATTATAATATTTAAAACCCACAATTAAAAGGCATTAATAAATGCATAAACGAGTTATTTAATTAAAAAATATTTTTAATTTAACTTAATATAATAACTTTTTTAAAAATTAAACATAAACATAATTAATTTTAATTAAATCATTATTATTATTAATAATAAAATTAATATTATTAATATTAATATAAAAATTTACGTAAAAAATAAATTTAATTAATTTAATAAATAATAATTAATTATTAAATAATAAATTTAATTTTTATAATAATAACGAAAAAAATGTTATATATAATAATTAAAAACGTAAAATTAAAATAATATAATTTAAAATAATGTTTTATTAAAAAAGCGAAAATTTTATAAAATGTAAAAATAAAAATAAAATTATTTTATTTTTTAATTTTAAATTTATATAAATAAATAATTAAACGTTATATAAATTAAATAAAATTTAAAATTAATTAAAAATAATATTAATATTATATTATTTATAATTAATAAAAATATTAATAAAATTATTTAAAAATTTTTAATAAATAATAATATAAATATATAAATAAATGTTTAATTAAATAATTGTTAAATATATAAACTTTAATTATATATTTTATAATTAATAACGTTATTATTTTAAATTAAAATAATAATATTTATAAAAATTATTTTATAAATTTTAATAAATTATTATATATTTTATAATTTAATAATAACGTTTATAACGTTATTATTATATTAAAATAAAAATTTAATTAATTTTATCTAAAACGAAGTCCGGTATTTTATATTACATTAATCAAAAAATTATTATAAGAAATTAATAAAGTAATTGATAAGGTAATTGATAAAGTAATTGATAAGTATTACGTAAGTAATTGATAAGAACATTGATAAGGAATTGATAAGAATTTGATAAACGCACGGACCACCAGATTTATGCAACATTAATAAAGTAATTGATAAAGAATTAACAGGCGCACAAACCACCACATTCGTGAGAAATTGATAAGGTAATTGATAAGGAATTGAGAGGCGCACAAACCATTACATCCGTGGGAAATTGATAAGGTAATTGAAAAATTAAAACGCGTATCAACCAATAAAATACCGGACTTCGTCCTGGTCCTGGCGCTTTATTTAAAGTGACTATGATATAAAAATTACATGAAAAAATCTACAAAAATTCAAAGAAAATTAGAAAAAAATTTAAGAATTTAAAAGAAATTAAATAAAATTAAAAAAATGAAAACAATTAAAATAATTAAAACAATAAAAACAATTAAAACAATTAAAACAATTAAAACAATT